GTCAGTCAGTTCAATCACTCAGTCGTGTCTGCTCTTTGCGATCCCATGGACTGCAGCACACCAGGCTTCCCTGTCCATCACCAACTCCTGGAGCTTGCTCAAACTCATGTCCATCGANCTCCTCTTTCACTTTCATCAAGAGGCTCTTTAGTTATTCTTCCCTTTCTGCCATAAGGGTGGTGTCATCTGCATATCTGAGGTTATTGATATTTCCCCTGGAAATCTTGATTCCAACTTGTGCTTCATCCAACCTGGTATTTTGCATGATATACTCTGCATTTAAGTTAAATAAGCAGAGTGACAATATACAGCCTTGATGTACTCCTTTCCTGATTTGGAGCCAGTCTGTTCTATGCCCAGTTCTAACTGTTGCTTCTTGACCAGAATACAGATTTCTCAGGAGGCAGGTAAGGTTGTCTTGATATTCCCATATCTTTAAGAATTTTCCACAGTTTGTTTTCTTTCAGGTACTTATATGTCATTTATACATCTTTGGAGAAATGCCTATTCAAGTGCTTTGACATGTTTTAACAGGTCTAGGTGATTCTGATGCACACTAAACTTTTAAAAATCAAGTGACTAGAAACTAATAAACTACTACCACAAATAACGTATTAATATAATTGAAACCAACTGGAATAAAGCTGTTAGGTTTTTTCGGAAAAAAAAATTATTTATTTGTGCTGAGTGTTAGTTGTGGCACATGGGATCTAGTTCCCTGATCAGGGCTTTGAACCTGGGCCCTCTGCATTGGAGCTCATAGTCTTAAGCACTGGATCACCAGGGAAGTCCCAAGTGTTAGGGTTTTGTTGTAAGATTATTTAATAGATCATGGTGAATATATGCTATTCAATTTTCAAAAGCTTGTCTCTTGTCTTAAGTAGACAAAGGCTGAGGAGAAATAGATAAACATTTGGGGAAAGGAAGAGGAGAAATCAAAGAAGTGGAGGATAAACAGAAGCAAGAGCAGGAAAATACTTTCCACAAAACCAGATATGTGGAGTATTTAAGACCAAATGAGGATTATGAGGTAAGATATCTTTAATTGTACTTTATACAGTAAGTATTCTTTTTTCTTGTATAGAAGGGCAGGTACTGAATTCAAGGACTTCCTTGTAGCTCTAATGTTAAGGAATTTGCCTGTGATGCAGGAGACCAGGGTTTGATCCCTGGGCTGGAAGATCCTCTGGAGAGGGGAATGGCACTCCACTCCAGTATTTTTGCCTGGAGAATTCCATGGACAAAGAAGCCTGGCGGGCTACAGTTTGTGGGGTCGCAAAGAGTCAGACACTGCTTAGCGACTAACACACACCATAGACTTAAGTTTCTTATTCACCGGATTTTAATTTAATTTTTAGAGTAGTAAATATGCTTATGTGGTTCAATAGTCAAATAATTTAAAATGGTACTCACTAAGTGGTCTCTTCCTATCCTTGAGAACCTCTGCTTACTTTTTCCTGTTCCTGTAGGTAGGTAAGTACTTCCCTTTTTGACTGTGCTGGCTCTTCATTGTGATGCATAGGCCTCTCTAGTCAGGGCGCTCAGGCTTAGTTGCCGGGTGGCATGTGGGATCCTACTTCTCCGACTAGGATTGAACTCTTTTCCCCTACATTGGAAGGTGGATTCTTAACCACTGGACCTTTGGGCAAGTCCCAGGTAAATACTTTTTTAGTAGCTTTTTTTTTTTTTTTTTTTGTTGGGCTTCTTTTTGGGTTTGTTTTTTTTGGTTGCAAAAAAAGGATATGTTATTTCCTTTCCCTCCCCTTATTATTTAAGAGCCTGTATTATGTACCCTGTCCTTGGCTCTATTGTTTTCTCATAACAGTATAAGCCTGGAGATATTTCTGTATTGATGTGTAGAGTGCGCTCTCATTCTGTTTCCAGTCACATATTTTTGCCATTGTTTAGATGTTTCCTAATATATTCTGAATTCTTGTGACCTTTTACATACAGTAAACTGTTATACTCTCACCTCCCAGTATTAACTTTTGATTTATCAGTGGAGTTTACATGAATATAAAAGATATTTATTCTTGCAAGATAGATCAAGTATTCTATTTCTTTCTCTTTGAATTCCTGCCATAACCACTCAACCAGCCTCCAACCTCTCTATCTCACTTACTGTCGTGTCTCCAGATACTGTTACAGAAAGAATAAATTTCAGTTGATGAAATTTGATGTCAAGATATGTCATTCTTTAAAAGTCTACCTAATTTTAAGTCCAAGATTCCCAACCAGTAGGCTGGTGGCAGATCTATTTTCAATTATAATTAGATCCTTTCTTCAAGATAAAGAACAGGATGTAAAAATTCATAACTCAAGAGTGTCCAGGTCTCTCTGGTTACAAAAATAGTGTTCAAGATCCTCTTACAATGAAAAGAAAAGTGAAGCGAATTATAAAAGAATTCATACAGAGTGCCAGGTAATTACCAGAATATCAGAATTTGAATGTAGTATGTCAAAACTTGAGAAGCTCATTGTGTCTGGAGTCCATCCTAGTAATGAATAGTTTGCAATATTTATCATGTAGTATTGCAGTAAGCCAGATATCAATGTTTCTTTTATTCTTCAGTGTAATTTCTCTAAGGAAGGAATCCTAATGTATTCAATTTTGCAACATAGCATGGAATATAGTGCCTGACACACTGGAGTGAATGAATAAATATTTCTTGAATGAGTCTTCTTGGTCCAAGGAGATACAGTGATTGATTTGCAACAAGCATACCCTCCAAGTACATTTGCAGTCATGACTTCCATAAGAACAAAGAAAAAAGGACTCGACTAAATGATAGAATTTATTATAATCCTGTTAGTTTATTTCCTTTAGTCATACCCCTAAGAGAAGGAAATGGCAACCCACTCCAGTATTCTTGCCTAGAGAATCCTGTGGACAGAGGAGCCTAGTGGGCTGCTGTCCATAGGGTCACACAGAGTTGGACATGACTGAAACGACTTAGTATGCATACCTGCATTGGAGAAGGAAATGGCAACCCACTCCAGTGTTCTTGCCTGGAGAATCCCAGGGACAGAGGAGCCTGGTGGGCTGCCATCTATGGGCTCGCACAGAGTCGGATATGACTGAAGTGACTTAGCCGCAGCAGCAGCCATACCCCTAATTTCTTTTATATTTCATGCCTTAGATGGATGCTTAATTGATCTAATTATAACATTTATTCAGCTCTGAAATGGTTTTTTTCTTGGCCTTGTTGTCTGGTGTGTGTTGGAGAAGCAGTATGGTTTGAGGTTATGAGTGTAGACTTGGAAGCCAGACTTCTTGATATTGAATTCTGGTTTAGCAATTTACTACCTGAGTAACTTGGGGAAATTACACCTCTCTGTGCCTCAATGTCCTCACTTGTTATGAAACGGAAAGTGTTAGTCATTCAGTTGTGCCCCTAACTCTTTGCGACCCTGTGGACTGAAGCCCGCCAGGCTCCTCTGTCCATGAGATTCTCCAGGCAAGAATACTTGAGTGGGTTGCCATTTCCTCCTCCAGGGGATTTTCCCAACCCTAGTCTCCTGCCTTGCAGGCAGATTTGCTTACTGTCTGAGCCACCAGGTAAGCCTCAATTGTCATAATAATACCTGTTTCATAGGGTTGATATATTAATACCTATGAAGTGCTTAGAGTAGAATCTAGCACAAAGGTGATTAACTTTCTTTCTCAAAGATTTTTTTTTTGATGTGGACCATTTTAAATGTCTTTATTGAATTCGTTATAATATTGCTTCTGTTTTATATTTTTTGGCTATGTGGCACATATGATCTTAGCTCCCTGACCAGGCATCGAGCCCACACACCCTGCATTGGAAGGCAAAGTGTTAACCACTGGATGGCCAGGGAAGTTCCAGGGTGATAGCTTTTAGCTTTTACTTTTACCTAGCCTGGAGACAGAGCTTAGGGTGCTTGAACTTCAAAGACCTTCACAGTTCTTAGTTTATAGCATCCAGGCTCTGTCAGAATCAACCAAATGAAGACTAGGACTCTTAGGACTTTCCAGGGATCTTCTCTTCAAACTCTGGAAGCTTCTACTCCTCCATCCATATGATGGATGATTTAATGCTTATGAGTACCTCCTTGAGTTTATATTCATCCTTTGGTTCTGGGTCAAAGTTCCAAAAGAAAAAGATGTTTCACTGTAACACTCTTATTTAGGCTTTGAGTCCTATGTATTCTTTCTTCTAGGAAAACTCACTTCTCTTTGAATCACCTCTTCAGTATTTTCAATCTTTCATCCTTCACTGAATCTGATACCCAAGGTTAACTAACTGATCACATGTATTGGTCAATGGCAGATTTGGTTCTCAGGATACATAACTTCCAATTCAAATCAAGTCCCAGTTAATTATGCTGCCTCCCTATGTTGGACAGCCAGTTTTCTATTTCATTACTTCCCTTTAATGTGGAAAGTCTTTCTTTCTCCAGGCAGCCATTTGTTCTCTCATAAATCCACTCTTTGGCTTTTTCTTAGGGTACTGCCATAACCAAACACACTTTTCATACTCCTAGCATATAATCCAACACTTTCTTCTTTTCCCTGGGACCTTTAAATGGAGCCTACTCAGACTACCATCTCCGTAATGTTTTTCAGTTTTGAAATCCCTTAGCCCTTGGCTTTTTAAACAGTAATTTTATTTATTTATTTTTGGCTTTGCTGGGTCTTTACTGCTGCACAAGGGCTTTCTCTAGTTGTGGTGAATGGGGGCTACTCTCTAGTTGCAGTGTGTGGGCTTCTCATTGCCGTGGCTTCTCTTGTTGCAGAGCATGGGCTCTACTGTGTGGAGGCTTCAGTAGTTGCAACACGTGGGCTTAGTAGTTGCAGCTCCTGAGTGCTAGACTACAGGCTCAGTAGTTGTTGCACATGGGCTTGGTTGCTCAGCAGGATATGGTATCTTTCCTGATCAAACCCATGTCTCCAGCATTGGCAGGTGGATTCTTTAGCCAGTACGGAAACCTCTTGCTGTGAATTTTTATCTTAGGAGTCTATTGGGAATCACATAGAAGTGTAATAAACATTTATTGAGTAAATGAGGAAACAGTGATAGAGACTGACCAGAAAAAAAAAAAAAGGTTTATTCAACAAGCCTTCAGAGATGTTAAAAATTATCTTTCTCCCATGGAGATCTGAGTCTGTGGAACAGGGACTCCAGCAAAGCAGTTTTCATTGACATGGTCTTTAAGCATTTCCAGTATCTGTGATAGTGGAAAGGATAGAAAGTTAAGATGGACATGGGTTACTGAAGCAGTGAAAATTTCTTCCCTGAGATCTGGGTAGTATACTGTCTGAGGAAATCCAGTTAGCATAGTGGAAATGAGATTCATTACTTAAAATGATCCAACTTGCAGTTCTATGAACTGAGATTTGACTATCAGGGGTTCCTTATCAATAAAGGTATTTTTCTACAATAAGTTGCACTTTGAGCAGTATGATATCCATGAAAAATATTTAGCCAGAATTTTATGGAGGAGATTTGAGAGGAGACAAAGGGGTTCTCACTCCATCTGGAAGGAGTTTTGCTTACCTTTGCTGCAAGGAGCACTGTACTCAGCAACTGCAAACTCATCTGAATAAAAACAAAAACAGTCAAGCAAAATGAGAGGGAAAGCAAACATCAATGGGATACAGGTTAGTGAAAGAATCTTTATTGTGGGAAGAATTGTATTAGAAACACCAGCATCATTCACTTGATGTGTTCTTACTGCCTTCTGTCTTCAAATACTGTAGATTATGCTTTCCTTTACCCTAAACCCTTGAAGGGCAGCAGTTTAGATATTATACTTATTTAAATTTCATATTGTCTTATAGTCGATTTTATCTGAAAAGAGAACTAGATATCCTACAGGTGCTTTGTATTAGGAATAGTACATTTACACAATAGGTAATTTCTACAATGTTTGTGTAGAAGACAAAGACTGGAGAAGTAGACTTGGTGGAGACAAAATGAACTGATGAGAGCAGTTAGTTTAATGAACTGGCCCAACATATCTCTCACAAATAAATCTCTGTGATCAAGATTTTAATTTCTGTGTGAACATTGCTCTCACTCACCTGTCTCATAATAGTCATAGACTTTCACTATGGCCGGTTTCAGATCCCTTACTGGGATGTCTTGCAGAACTGTGAAGGTCAAGGTCAGGGTCTCATTTGTGACCTATAAAGCAAAAGGGAATTAAATGATACTCCAGGGAGCTTCTGTATCTCTTCTTTGAGTGAGTTTAAGTATTCATCTATTTTGGGGAAAAACTTTTGTCAACTAAGAGGGTCCTTAAATTGGGTTAAAAGCTCTCAAAGTAGATGAAAACTTCCCCAAACTGTTTCTTAAGTAACTAAAACTATTCATACACTCCCATTAATGTGAGTTCATGGCTCTGTTCATAGAGGTGAATGATGTATGCCTTTTATTGTTTGAATACCTATGTATATTTTTAAAAGTATCAGAATTCAATATTTTCACTTGTCTATCTTGCAGAAATACTTGTTAACTCAAAATACATGTATATATATGGCTGAGTCCTTTTGCTCTTCATCTGAAACTGACACAGCATTGTTAATTGGCTAATGTGTGCATGCTAAGTCGCTTCAGGTGTGTCTGACTCTTTGGGACCCTATGGACTATAGTTCACCAGGCTTCTCTGTCCATGGGATTTCCCAGGCAAGAATACTGGAGTGGGTTGCCGTGCTCTCCTCCAGGGGATCTTCCTGAATGAGGGATTGAACCCTTGTCTGTTATGTCTCCTGCATTGGAAGGTAGGTTTTTTACCACTGGGCCACCTGGGAAGCCCAATTGGCTATACCCCTGTACAAAACAAAAAGTTAAAAAAAAAAAAGGAATATAAAAGGCAGATCGCTGCAGACTTAAGTTTCATAAAATTGTGAGCTATAATATCCATCAATATGGGAACGAATAAATTATGCAACAACACACAACTATAACATCAGATTGGTTTATTGGTAGACTGACCCTATATTTTATGGTCTAAGTCCTTTCTGAGATTGATATTATATTACCCTTTTGTTTTACTGATGTGAGGCTGAAATTGTGTGCTCAGTCATGTCCAACCCTTAGCGACGCCAAGGACTGTAGCCCACCAGGCTCCTCTGTTCATGGGATTTCCCAGGCAAGAATACTGGAGTGGGTTGCCATTTCTACCTCTAGGGGATATTCCTGACCTGGGGATCAAACCCTCGTCTCTTGAGTCTCCTGCATTGGCAGGTGGATTCTTTACCATTGATGTCACCTGGGATGTTGATATAATAATTGACTAACCCCAATGGTTGCTTCCTTCTAGTATGCAGCATTTGCAAAATAACTTGTGCACATAAATCAGCACCTTTTATGGAGAATTTATTGCTTTTGGGGGGTCCTAGAAATATTCATATCCAAATATTATATATAACAAGCCATTTCTTCTCATAGTCCCAAATGAAATTATAAATAGAGGAGAGGAGAATATTCATTGGAACTAATGTTAGAATGCTCAACTTTTTAGTATGGAGGTGATGTCTCTGAAAATGTCTTAATTCATTTCCTAAGTAGCTCACTATCTGTATTTTTTTGCAGCTAGATTGGTAGGGTGCTCACCTTATCCAGATAAATCAAAACATGGTTGTTGCTAACTTCTGTTCGGCTCACATCAGATCTTTCAAGCTGAAGAAAATCAAGACATTGTAAATGTTAATAAACAGATGAAAACCCTGGGGAACCAGAGAAAAGAATGTTTACTACCAAACTAAGCCTGAGGGTGAAATTTCTTGAAATGCTTCTTATAAGTAAAGACAATAATGTGGCAAAATTAAAGAGGAAAGGTAATTGGGATGCAGGGTTTAATATTAGTATGGTACAGGACCTATGTATAAAGTTGATTTATTTGAGGAACAGGGAACAAAAAGACTTGGAAATTACCCATATTTCAAGGTTCAATTCACATTCCATTCCTTTATGGAGGCTTTTTTTTTTTTTAAACTTTTTCTTATTCTCAGTTTTCTCTGTACTTCTGTAATAGTTCTAGTTTATGTCAATTTTTTTCATATTTTTTCACTAGTTCATGTGCTTATGCTTTATTTTCTGAAGATTATAAGATCCATTAAAGTAGGAGCCTGCCAACACTTTTTTTCCTATTAGATGTGGCTCCTAGCATAGTGCTGTTCATGACAGGAGACAGACTGTTGCTGTGTCACTGAAGCAGTGGACAGTAAGGATGCTGGAGCTGGCAAGGTCACCAGATTTGCCCAGGAAGTTCATAAGACTAAATTAATATGATATGATCTCTAATACCTGCCACCCCAGTATGATCTATGGTGAAAGAACAGTCTCAAAATTGTCTGAACTGACCACTGAAGTTAGTAGTGAAAGACTAGTTAATGATAACAATGCTTCATTAAACTAGAACAAAATGAGAACATTTTACAGACCATTTGTTTTTCATGGGTGGCAGTTTAAAATTAATATTTCAAACTAATATCTTAATGGAAACATGACCAAAAAATCCATCACAAAATTTTGAGACCCATTAGAGCAAAGTTTAATGAGAAAACAAACAAGCAACTCCCCATACAAACATGCTAAATTATATTTCTGCATTTGGTGCAAGTAATGTCTTTGGTAGGAGTTGATTTAATAGTATTTTATATTAATGTCTTAGTCTAGAGATATATAAAACATTAGATCAAATAGAGTCTCCTGGGCTTATTGGAAACCTACCATTTTCACTGTTGGTTTCAAGGGAATGAAGCCAGATACCATCTTCACATCAACAATTGCCATGTTGGAGGCTGGACGGCTTCCGATATAACTAAAGATCCAGGGAAGAAAGGAATTAGGATTTTCTGTGTCATTAAATATTCTTTTTCTATGTCCAGTAAGCACATAAGAGCCCCGAAAGGTATCAGAAAACTTCCTAAATTTCTTATCAAATAGCTCAAAAAACTGGCTGTGCATTAGAATCTTCAGGGGAGCCTGTTGAAGCCACAGAGACCAGGCCCTACTCCAGACCAGATAAATCAGAATTTCATGGGTGTGACCTCTGAGCATCTGCCTTTTAAGAAAGCTCTATAAGTGATGCATCGTTGGGCAGTTCAGTTCAGTCGCTCAGTCATGTCCGACTCTTTGCGACTCCATGAACTGCAGCATGCCAGGCCTTCCTGTCCATCACCAATTCCTGGAGTTTACTCAAACTCATGTCCATCGAGTTGGTGATGCCATCCAACCATTTCATCCTCTGTCGTCCCCTTCTCCTCATGCCTTCAGTCTTTCCCAGCATCAGGGTCTTTTCATATGAGTCAGTTCTTCACATCAGTTGGCCAAAGTATTGGAGTTTCAGCTTCAGCATCAGTCCTTCCAATGAATATTCAGGACTGATTTCCTTTAGGATGGACTGGTTGGATCTCCTTGCAGTCCAAGGGACTGAGTCTTCTCCAACACCACAGTTCAAAAGCATAGATGAGCATGAGACTTCTAATCTATCCAGTTATTTGTTACATGTACTTTGTCTTTTTTTCCTGAATAATATCCCCAATCAGGTTATAATAATCTTGTTGTTGCTGTTTAGTCAATAAGTTGGGTCTGACTCTTTGTGACCCCATAGATTACAGATTGCCAGGTTCCCTTGTCCTTCACCATCTGCCAGAGTTTGCTCATAATATTCTTATGGACAGATACAAATAGCCCAGTAATTATTTGAAACTTGCTGCATATGTATGTATTTCCCCCAGATTGATTATTTTATATATAATCTGAGATTTAATTATCATCAGTGGGAATTCTAACTAGAGAGTCACTACTCCCTTCTATTCATACTTTTCAAGAGGTCTCCACCTTTGTCCTGGATAAAGCAAGAATAATATCAGATTTCATGACAATAGAATGAAATCAGGATGAATCATTACATTAGAATAAAGTCAGGAATTCAGGTTAGAGGAAAGGGGTAATATTCTTTATGTAATTATTATTGAGAGGGATTAATAAGCTGTAAATAAGGAGATTAGACACTTACAGATCCTGCAGTGGGTGATATAAAATGTAAACTCCATCACTGAGAAATTCTGTGTCAACATGGGAACAGGTTGCTTTTTCAATAAATGCAGAACAGACATTCACCATCACTCTGCTCTGCTTAATGTGGAGTTCTAGTGAGAAGATTGACTGTTATACCCAGAACTACATGATGCAGTCAGAGGTCTTACCTGACACTCAGTGAGATCTGGAAGCTGGTGTGGGCTTTGGGTCCATCACAAGTTTGGGGCAGAGTCTGTACCTCCAAAGCAAATGGGAACTCGTCTTTTTTCGGGAGAACATTGTATTTCAAAGATGTCTGTGGAACAGATAAAAATCTGTGATTTTCCCTTCTCCAGGACTCCTCCCAGCTTCCCCAACTCTTTCATTTGCCCCTTCATTTGCTGAGTTAGGACTTTTCAGTGACCATGGTGATGCTGGACCTTCTGTCTGCAGAATCTCACCTGGAGGTAAACACATCCTTCTCCTGTGACTGATATGCTGTACTCTCCAGGCACCTCTGGCAATGAAACCTGCTGTAGTAACAGGCGGTTGCTATTTTCCACTTGGAAGTTTGTGGAAAATGTCCCTGAAGACTGGATGGTCACCTGTGCAGCCTTCCCAGTCCTGGTGAAAGTGGCTGCTCCGTATCTGGACAAGGCGTGGAGAGCTACTACTGTGTCCTGGAAGAGACAGGTGAGAGGACCCACTTAGGCATGACAACCCTTGGAAGACCCAAAAGCCCATGTTAGTGAATAGTGAAAGTCATTCAGTCGTGTCTGACTCTGTGACCCCATGGACTGTAGCCTGCCAGGCTCCTCTGTCAGTGGAATTCTCCAGGCAAGAATACTGGAGTGGGTAGCTGTTCCCTTCTCCAGGGTATCTTCCCAACCCAGGGACTGAATCCAGATCTGCATTGCAGGCAGATTCTTTATTGTCTGAGCCACCAACGGAGCCCAAGAATATTAGAGTGGGTAGACTATCCCTTCTCCTGGGGAAATTCCCAACCCAGGGATAGAACTAGGGTCTCCTGCATTGCAGGAGGATTCTTTACCAGCTGAGTTACCAGGGAAACCCACAATCTATGTTAGTTGTCACAAAAGGAGCTTTGGTTTCCTATTTCCTGTTCCCCCTCACTATTTCAGTAGTAGAATCCTCATTTTAAGATTGATTTTACTCCCTAGATAGATGACAGAACCATATCCTTTGCATATCTGCCTTGGACTGTATGGTTCTGTCGTAGATCTATCCTTATTTTTCACCATCCTCAAATACTAACATTTTTCCCACTTCAAGTTATTCTTATCTTCATTTTTTTCTTCTCATACGTGTTTGTATCTGTTCAAACATTTTGCTATCTGAAGGCAAAGTGAAAGGTTCTGGCTAAGCACAGACCTGGGTGGAGGAGAAGCCCCCCTGGGAATTCTGCTGCTTTGAGATCCACTTCACGGTGCTCGTGGCATGGGTGAGGTCCTCCAAGGTCGGGGCAGGCTGGGCCGTGAGGTAAGTGAGGAGCACGTAGGCTGTCATCTCCACCTCTGCAGACGGAGCCCTGGGTTGGTAAACATCCTCCGTGAGCACCCTGGGTTTCTGAGGTCGTGTCCAGTGGATGGAATTATCTGGAGGTATGAAAAAGATTTGTTAAGTGACCACATACTCATATTCAACTTCAAGTAAAAGTGCAGGAGCCAGACCTGAAGTGAGGGCTGCCTTCCAACGATAGTCTGTTAAACCTTATCTAGATGTTTTTCCTTCTATGAAAAGCTGAACTTGACTTCTCATAGAACTTGGGCTAAGGCGGTCATGTTGCTGGAGTCCAAAGCCTACAGCCATCCAAGTTGTCAAATGGTTGCTGTAGTTGTGTTTGTGGAAGAAACAGCAGAGCAAGTTCTCTGATTGGTTGTAGTAATTTCCTGTATCTAATGTTATTCCGACCTTGTCTAGGGTTTGTTCAATTTTCTATAAAGCCTGTCTTTGGAGATTTCTTATGAGGATCACAAATCACATGAGATAATGGAGTTTTCATTCATTAGATTAAAAAAAAATAGAGTAATTCTCAAAATACCAAAGGCTGACAGGGTATGAAATAACAGGAGCTGATTTATACTGCTGTGGGAAGTAAATAACTCTTTGGAGAGTAATTTGGCAGTAATCCGGCAAAGAGGAAAATGTACTGAGCTCATGAATCCAGCAGTTATGCTTTCCAAGTTCAAATTAGACAAACTCAGGTATTACCCCCTCAAGGAGAATATGAGTATTCATTGCAGCATGGTTTGCAATAGAAGTAAATAAACAAGAAAAGATCCATGAGAAGAGACACTCTAAGTTATGACCTTTTAGTTTATCGTAATGTATTATGCAGTAGTGAAAATTAACACACCTGTACAAGGGACTCCTTTCAGCCTAATGTTGAACTTAAAATACAAAAGGCAAGTAGACAGATAAGGTTCAAGTAGAAATATTTAGAAGGATGATAGTTCTTATCTAAAGATGAAAAATGTAAGTATTTTGAATATTATTTAGGATTACACATGCAATAAAAAGATAAATCCATGGATATTTTAATGACAAATTCTGGATCAACTACTTTTTAGAGTAGGAATGGCACCCCAGGGGTTTTTCCAGCATTGGTAATATTTTGTTTCTTAAGCTGAAAGGGAGGTATTAAAGGTATTTTCTAATTATTCTTTGTGCATTTTTGTATATCTGAAATATTTCTCAATGCATTATAAGAATAAACAACTAATAGCACTGTCAAGGGAGAAAGGCAGGATATGTTTTATTGTATATCTTATTATTTGCATCTTATTTTTATTTCTTCTACCTCTCATATAGGCCATTATATAAGTAGAAATATTGTGTGGATAATGAATAGACTTGTCCAACATCATCAGTCTTGTGAACTGAGCATGAAATACTAGAATTTATTTGTGGGATTACTTCCTTCAGTCTTATGTTTAAAATGATATGATACAGCCGCCCGGCTAGCTCAGTTGGTAGAGCATGAGACTCTTAAAATGATATGATACACTGGTTTAGGGTGGGGCATATATTGAGAACTGATATCTTAATCAATAGCTAATACTTGTATAGCACTTGCTCTGGGCCATATACTTTTTTTAGCACTAGTCTTCAGAGGCCAAGCTTCTTACTATTACATATATTGCCTTTTATCTTTGGATGTGTAACTTGAGTAAGAAACTTCAAGTCTATAATGATACAGAGGGACTTCCTTGGTAGCCCAGTGGTTAAGACTCAGCCTTCCAATGCAAGTGGTGTGGGTTTGATCTCTGGTCGGGGAACTAAGATACCACATGCTGCGTAGTGTGGCCAAAAATTAAAAAAATAAACAAAATGTAATTATAATGATATAGTTAAAAGAAGAGAGGGAAAGGGATCCTGAGAGGGGGTCATGGGAGACTTTTGGTGTGGAATTCTTAGTCCCGAGAACGTGGGATGGGAGAAAGTTCCCAGGTGTACTCTCACCTTCCTTCACGGCTTCCTTATCCAGTGACGCGAGTACCTCTGTCCTCCTTTCCTGGTTACCTGCCAGGGCAAAGGCGTAGGCCAACAGTGCCTTGGTGTAGACATGGCTGCCTTGGGATCCTTCCTTGGCTGACTTCCACGCTGAGTCCAGGCAGAACAGGGCATTGCGGACGACAGGGTGCTGGTGAGGGAGAACAGGAAGGGAGTGAGCTGTGTGAACAGGGAGGCTGGGGCCCCCAGGTAAACACAGACCACAGTAGAGAGGTCAAGAAGTTGTTCAGAAGCATTTGTCCCTCTAGCCTTGTTCTTATGGATGGCGAGAACAGTATTTTTTAATTAATTAATTAATTAATTAATTTTACTTTACAATATTGTATTGGTTTTGCCATACATTGACTAGTATTTTTTAATCTGTTAGTCTATATTCATAATGCAAGAATATAATCCATATCCTTAGAATTCATTCTATGTGTGTGTGGTGCTGGTAGTGAGGTTGCTAGGGAAGAAATAGACTAGGGCCATCACTGGGAAAGTGTAAATGTTTCTTAGTGGTTTGATCAAATTCTCTATCGATCTGGGAAGCATTGGCATTGCATAGAGAGAAAGCTGAGTAAGGTGACATTTCAGACAACGTGTCAGCAGTTTCACTGCATCCAGAGCAATGCTTTAGCCAGGACACTTACTGTGACAGGGAGAGGCATCTCTAGAAGGGCAATGGTGATGTAGGCAGAGAGGGTCACTTCATCATCCACCCCACCCTGTAAACATGAGACAGAGAGAGATTTGAGAAAGAAGGACATTTATAGTCATACAGCTTACCTTAGGAAACAAGAAAAATCTCAAATAAACAATTTAATCTTATGCCTGAAGCAATTTAGAGCAAGAAGAACAGACAAAACCTAAAGTATGTAGAAGGAAAGAAATCATAAAGATCAGAGCAGAAATAAATGAAATAGAAACTAAAAATTAAAAAAAGGTCAATGAAACTAAAAGCTGGTTCTTTGAAAAGATAGACAAAGTTTATAAACCTTTCACTGGACTTGTCATGAAAAAAAAAAAAAAAAAAAAAGGGAGCAGGCACGCCCAAATCAATAAAATCAGAAGTGAAAAAAGAAGTTACAACAGACACCACAGACATACAGAGGAGTATAAGACAGCCTACCAGCAGCTATATGTCAGTAAAATGGACAATCTAGAAGTGGACAAAGTCCTAGAAGGTGCCACCTCCCAAGATTGAACCAGGAAGGAATAGAACGTTTGAACAGACCAATTACCAGTACTGAACTTGATGATCAGTAATTTAAAAACTCCCAGTAACTTCTGAGAATGCTCTTCATCAGCTCCTTGTATTCTGCTGTCATGGGATTTGTCCTAATCCACATTCATGACCGTGGGGCAAAGTATCATAGTCATCCTAAGTTCCATCCCCTCTTTCTGATGCTGCTATCCAGGTTTTATTTTCATCTGATACCTTCCTTAAGGAATCCCTAGGTTATCACTTCCTCTCCTTATCCTTGTGGACAGTGTAATGGACAAACCGAAACCAGCTCTGGGAACACTTCACCTTGATGGCATTGTTAAGCAGAGACCCAGAACTCCTGAAACAGCCATTGCTCTTCTGCTTTTGGGCCAACCAGGTGAGAGCTTCGGTAATATGTGCTTCATCAATGAAGATATAGCCTCGAGCCTGGGCAAAACTCTTCAGTACAAAGGCCGTGAGCCTGCAGGGGAGAGGAAGTGAAGATCACATCTATGTTGGTACAGTGATTTCATAACCACTTCATAGCAGCAGCCTGCATAGGACACGCCTCATACTGATGTGAGTCATCTAACAGACATACTTATGTACTTAGAGCTTCCATTGCCTTTACTTGATGAGTCTGCTGGATTTAGTACAGTTGACTCTTGAACAGCATGGTTTGAACTGCACTAGTCCACTTACTCAATGGATTTTTTTTTTTTTAACAAATATATACTAGAGTACTACATGATCCCCAGTTGGTTGAATCTGTTGATGGACAAATAGTATAGAATTTTCCACTGCTGAAGGTTAGCACCCATAACCTGCATGTTTTTCAAGGGTCAGCTGTACTCTTAATGTTACTTTTTTTTTTTCTATTTATTTGATTAAGGCTTTAAATTTTTAGTGATTTTCTTTTGCAGATAGTAGCATCTTCTCATGCATAGGTCTTACATGAGGTACCTTCTGACACTGTTTTGCCTGAGGTATTTCTTTTTTGATTTTTTCTTATGTGGGCCATTGTAAAGGTCTTTATTGAATTTGTTACAATACTGCTTCTGTTTTATAAAGCTTGTGGCATCTTAGCTCCCCAACCAGAGATCAAGCCTGCACTGCCTGTGTTAGAAGGCAGTCTTCACTTCTGGACTGCTGGGGAAGTTCCTACCTCAGAGATTTTAAAATAATGTTTGATATCACTGGGACCATCTCATTTCTTTCCTCCTATTGGTGAGTTTATTAGTGATCAAAGTGAATCTGATCCAAAAAGCATAAACTGAAGTTAACACAATTTATCTGGAAGTTATGTGATATGGTTACTGGCTATCTCATTTAAAAAGTCATGGTTATGGAGGCTGTTTTAAAAAAAAATAGCTATTTCAGAAAGAATACCTTGGTATATTATGAACAGGATGAATTCTGGGGACAAGTCTAACATATGTATATTCAAATCTCAGCTTTTTTGCTTGTTACCTTGCTAGTCTTGTATATTTATCCAGTATAACCAACTATAGGCTTAATGATAATATCTGATAGGGTTACTGGGAATATAATTTTGACTCTATATGTGAGAGAGCTGACACAAAAATAGAAGCTCAGAAGAGCTGTCTTTCCCTTACCAGGTATTGCCCTCACTGTTGCTGTGATGGTCCCCAAAGGTGCTGTAAGAGCCGTCGAAGTGCTTGTAGAGCAGCTGTCTCTGGTAACCTGGAGTGGGAGGTTAACGAAGCAACATGACAGATTGTACATTGCATGGCCAGACAAATCAGCAAAATGCCCTGGCATCTGGTGCAATTCCCTAAAGTTTGCTGCCATGTGTGGATGGTTTTGAGTCCTAAACATTTTATTGGAGGTTGGACACCGGATAAGTCCCATGAAATTAACTGTCATAGTATTCTTATTATTGTAAATATCCTAAAATGATATATTTACATATCACAGAATGGATAAGTAACTCAAGCCCACTGGAGAATCCAATCTGTTGTTAAAACTTTAACACTGCAAAGTTTTCATGCACTTATTCAGTCACTCACCAGTGTTGAGGTAGAGGATGGCCTTGGACTTCAGTTCTGCAGTCAGCTGCTGTGTCTCATTTAGATAATCCAGAACATAGATGTTAGGGGCAAAGAGGGCCATATTCTGTTCTCCACAACCATAGGGCATTTGGAGGAGATTTTGTGTGTTTCGCATGGCAGAGCCTAATATGTCTCCTAGGAAATGGGAGAGATGGGAAGTTATAAAACTTATAGATTATCGTGTATCAGAATCATTAGGAAGAAATGAATAATTAGCTAAGGTAAAGAAAGGAGCATTTTTAGGAAGGGCGAGTCTTTCAAGAACAGAGGTATGATTAAAAGCAATAAATAAGTCCAAAGGAGAAGAGAACAAAGAAATTAAAATTAGAGCTGTTATTTTGAGAAAATATTTATGGAAAAAATAGTAGATATTGTCTAATACAGTATACCAGTCCCCTGTAGTCCCCTAGGGCTGGAGACTCACCCAAAACTGAGAAGGAGGCTCGGGCAGATTCTTCCACCACGTTTGGTGGCAGCTTCAGAGATAATGGTTCAGACACCTTGGCACCTAGAGAAAGAAACAAATCAGCCATAATGAAAATGACTTCTACTGTATATCTTCTTAAAGAGTTCCAAGATCCAGAACCAGAACTATGTCTTGAACCTAAACTTCTTCTGAAAAGTTGTCCCTCTTTTAATATTCCAATTTTTTAATATCTTCAACATATATGAATGGGATTCTGAGATTTCTAGAACCTTTCCTTTCCCATCCTCCTTGTGTGTGGAATTGTAGCCAAAAAAAGGCTATACATTGACTAGTGCCTGTTACGTCGTGATTGTGTGTAATTCCCACAAGGGAAGCCCAAAATCCAGTTTTTTTGGGGCTTTCCTGATAGCTCAGTTGGTAAAGAATCCGCCTGCAATGCATGAGACCCTGGTTTGACTCCTGGGTTGGAAAGATCCGCTGGAGAAGGGATAAGCTACCCACTCCAGTATTCTTGGGCTTCTCTAATGACTCAGCTGATCAAGAATCTGCCTGCAGTGCAGGAGACCTGGGTTCAATCCCTGGGTTGGGAAGATACCCTGGAGAAGGGAGAGGTTACCCACTCCAGTATTCTGGCCTGGAGAATTCCATGGACTGTGTAGTCCGTTGGGTTGCAAAGAGTCGAACATGACTCAGTGAGTTTCGTTAAGACCAAACTATGGTCGGAATATCTTGGTGGTGGTTTCAGCTGTCACTGAAAAGCTCCTGAATTCTACCTTAATGCTCAGTCTTTACTTCCATCAAATTTCACCAGATATGAAGACAGTATTTTTATGGAAACTCTAGACAGGGGGAAAGGGGTGAAGATGAGCAGTATTTGACTCACTGAAAAGAAATTAATAGTTGCTGATAAGCATACATTTGATGGCATTTTAATATTGGTGAATGACCAGAAAAAAATGTAATATTTATCATCATACCGCATCCCATCTTTATAGACTAATAATGAAACTTTTGTTAAAGGGCACAAAGTATCAGTTATACAAGATGAATAAATTCAAGAGGTCTATTGTAAAGCATAGTGCCTAGAGTTAATAATACTGTTACAAATTAATAATAAGTTAATAATACAGATACTAATTTATCAATATATTATTTAAAAATGTACATGGATAATTATTAAAGTATTAAAAAAGACTGCAAGGTGGTGACAATAGCCTTTAAAATGAGGTTTTGATTTTTTTAAGGAGAAAGTATTTTTGTATACCTAAATATTTGCTAACAGGATATATCTTATATTACAAAAACATAATAAGACAGTGAGAGGAAACTGTTGGAAGTGATGGATAAGTTTATGGTATAGATTGTGGTGACAGTTTCACAACTGTATACTTCCTCCAAACTCATTAAGTAGGATACATCAATTATGTATGTACTATCAATTATATTAATTACATAGTCATGTAGTTAAATTTAATCCTGTAGTTAAATATATAATTGTGTGCTAAATATACAGTTATATTAATTATATATTACTTGTATGTCAAAAAGTTCTCTTACATTCAAAAAACTTTTTGTAAGAAAACAGATGACATAAGCAAAGCAAAAAGACAAATTCCCAAATGAAAGGAAATATTTACTACAAATTACTCAATAGATAAAGAATCAATGTATACAACTGAATCCAAAAAAACCCAAACTACTCCAACATATTGAAAATGGTCAAAGGATATGAAAGCAATTCATAAGTGTGCAAAAATAAGTCATCCTAATTTTCAACTAGAGAAATGTAATTTAAAGCAATAATACTTTCTTTTCATCCAGATTTTTGGTTAAAATTTAAAAACTTTAATGGTAGAAAATGCTGGTGATCATGCAGGAAAATATAAACTGGTGGAAACAGAAGCATATTTAGGTAATAGACTTTGTTCAGTTCTGTTAAGACTAAGAATATACATTACTGGCTCTTAATTAGGAATTTCACATTTTGGTATCTACCTTAGATATACTTGTATATATACACAGGAGGCATCTATCTATCTATCTAGTCCAGCAAACAGTTGGAAAAACCAATTTGGGAAATGCTATAAAACCAAGCAGAACTGTGATAGTTTGAAATTAAAAGGAATTATCTAAATCTATAATTTAACATGGAGAGATTTCTAAGATAAGTCCTTGAGTGAAAAAGAAAGCAAGTTATATGATTAAACTTATCCATTTATGTAAATCACTGTACAGAAACAAATTTATCAATGTATTATTTAAAAATGTACATGGATAATCATTAAAAAAGATTGCAAGGTGGTGACAATAGTCTTTAAAATGAGGTTTTTGTTTTTTTTAAGGAGAAAGTATTTTTGTATTATGTGAGTAATTAAAATTAATTTCAATAAAACTCTGATGATTAGCTCTAGACACATGAGAGAGAGGTCAGAATGAAAAACTCAGAAATGGAAGAAAATCCATGTTGGATTTGGTAGTAAGCAGTAAGTTCACTTAAATGTAGAAACAAGGCTAAATAATAAGGCAATTATGTTTTTTAGAGTACATTTCATGTATTAATATGTTAAGTCCTGACATGACAAAAATATAATAAAGAGAAGTGAGTACGAAGAGAAAGGCAAGAAATGATGTTGATCAGACATTGAGTTAAGAACACATTGTGTATATGTACCACAGCTTCCTTATCTATTAGTCTGCTGATGGACATCTAGGTTGCTTCCATGTCCTGGCTATTATAAACAGTGCTGCGATGAACATTGGGGATATACACCATGGAATATTACTCAGCCATTAAAAAGAATTCATTTGAATCAGTTCTAATGAGATGGATGAAACTGGAGCCCATTATANAGTTGACATATATTTAGTTGACACTTGTTTTTAATGTAAAGACCTGAGACTTTGAAGAAACACACAGTTATATAATTGCTAATAATTTTCAATCTGATACCAACAATTCAGTTTATATCTTCTAAAAGTGGCAAACTTGTCATGTATAAAACATAGAAAACCTCAAAGGAAAATAAGAAAAATCAGTCAATATCTATATCCACAAAACATGGTTAATAATTTGGTATCTGTGCTTCCAAAGTTTTTTCTGTGTAGGTTTATAGTTTGGGCTTTCCTTATAGCTCAGTTGGTAAAGAATCCATGTGAAATGCAGGAGACCCAGGTTCACTTCCTGGGTCAGGAAGATCCACTGGGGAAGAGATAAGCTACCCACTGCAGTATTCTTGGGCAGTGAGGGAGATCTAGGTTCAATCCCTGGGTTGGGAAGATCCCCTGGAGAAGGGAAAGGCTACCCACTCCAGTATTCTGGCCTAGAGAATTCCATGGACTGTATAGTCCAAGAGGTCGCAAAGAGCTGGACACAACTTTTTTTTTATAGTTTACCAAATTGTACTGTAATGTACATGCTGCTCTATGGGTTTTTTTCTCCATAATATGTTCTGATTTCTTTCCTTAAATATTGCTTAAATAAGTAAGTTAAATATTACTCTAAAATTTCCATTAATATGACTTTTTAACATTAAAAAAAATTACTGCGTAGCACTTCCCTATATGTCTAGAACATAGTTTATCTAGTGCTCTCCCTATTATTAGAGAATTACATTGTTTCCACCTTATTCCTTTCAAAATCTATACTAATAACAACTGTCTCAGCTTGGGCAAACTCCAGGAGATGGTGAGGGACAGGGAGGCTTGGCACGCTGCAGTCCATGGGGTGGCAGAGAGTCGGACATGACTTGGTGACCGAACAATGACAAAACAAATGTTTCTGTGTTATTTTCTTAAGATAGATTTTAAATTTTTTTTTTAATTTGTTTTTAATTGGAGGATAATTGCTTTACAGTGTTGTGATGGTTTCTGCCATACAGCAATACGAATGAGCCATAATTGTACACATATCCTCTTCCTCCTGAACCTCCTTCCCACTCTCTTGGCTTAGGATATCAACCACACCTTCAGGTCTCCCAGCAGAGTATATAAGATTTATAAACAGTTATGGTGAGATGTAAAAATTAAGTTTAATATAATTAATCATATATGAAAAGTTAAATATTATGGGAATTCAGAGGTTGAAATCTTGGAGAACAGAAGACATGAGGATTATGATAAGGTCAGAACCTTGTTTCACATTGTCATTTGGTATTTGGAGATATCAGAAACTGTGGTCATATAACATCTGAATATTTCTGACAGTATTCTCTCCTGATGAGCCCACCTTATACGTAGGAAGTTTGTCAGTATTCCCAGGAATGCAGTTTTTAATTTACTGGGTGGTTACTCGTGTTCAGTTTAAGAAAGAGAGGTCATTACCCGGATGCATTTGGGAAGGTAGTTTAACACTGTGGCCTTGAGTGTGAAGGCCTCTCCACGGATCACAGAGTAGGGCATCGTCAGCTCCACAAAGAAGGGCTGGAAGACTCGGAGAGAGGCAGTCGGAGAGAGGCCAAGTCCAGTGTCACTGGACAGGCAGAGGGCCCCGGCCTTCCACTCAGTGATGGTATCAGGGACTGTTACTTCTACTTCATGCACACCTGAGGAGCTGGGGAGGATGGCCATGTGAAAACAAAAAGCAAGCAGTTAAAATACAGGCCTTGTTGTTGTTTAGTTGCTAAGTTGTGTCCAACTCTTTGAGACTGTATGGACTAGAGCCCACCAGGGTCCTCTGTCCATGGGATTCTTGAGGCAAAAACACTGGCGTGGGTTGCCATGCCCTTCCTCAGGGGATCTTCCTGACTCAGGGATTGAACCCATGTCTCCTGCATTGGCAGGCAGATTCTTTACACTGAGCCCCCAGGGAAGCCCAAATACAGGCATACCTTATTTTATTGTGCTTTACAGTTCTGTGCTTTTTAATAAATTGTTTGTGGCAATCCTGTGTCAAACGAGTCTGTTTGTGTCATTTTTCTACTAGCATTTGCTCACTTCAGGTCTCTGTGTCACGTTTTGGTAATTCTCTCAATATTTCAAACTTTTACATTATTATTATATTTGTTGTGGCGATCTGTGATCAGTAGTTTTTGGTGTTACTATTTTAATTGTTTCGGGGTGCCATGAACTGCACTCATGTAAGACAGCAAACTTAACAGATGAGTGCTGTGTGTGTCTGACTGCTCCGCTGACCAGCCACTGCCCTAACTCTCTTCTTCTTCTCAGGCTTTCCTTTCCCTGAGACACAACAATACTGAAATTAGGCCAATTAATAATCCTAGGATGGTCTGTAAGTGTTCAATGAAAGGAAGAATTGCACCCCTCTCAATTTAATAAACCAAAAGCTAGAAATAGGGTTTCCCTGTTGTTTCAGTGGTTAAGAATTCACCTGCCAATGCAGGGGACATGGGTTTGATCCTGGTCTGGGAAGATCCCACACGCCCCAGGGCAACTAGGCCAGTGCATAACTACTTAAGCCCATGCTCTAGAGCCCATGTTCCACAATAAGAGCAGCGTTGCAATAAGAAGCCCACATACCACAGCAAAGAGTAGCCTCCACTCTCTGCAACTAGAGAAAACCTGCATGAAGCAACAAAGACCCAGCACGGCCAAAAATAAATAAATGCAATTTTAAGAAAAGCTAGAAATGATTAAGCTTTGTGGGGAATTCAAGTTGGAAGCTAGGCCTCTTGTACCAGTTAGCCAAGTTATGAATGCTCAGGAAAGTTCTTAAAGGAAATTAAAAGTACTACTTGGGTAAACACTTAGATGATAAGATAGAAAATCAGCCTCACTGCTTGACATAGGGAAAATTTGAGTGATTTGGAGAGAAGACCAAACCAGCCACAACATTTCCTGAAGCCAAAGCCTGATTCAGAGCAAGGCCCCAACTCTCTTTGGTTCAACTCTCTTCAATTCTTTGTGGGGTGAGAGAGTAAGGGAGCTGCAGAAGAGGTTGAAGCTGGCAGAGAATGGTTCATGAGTCTTAAGGAAAGAATTCAACGCTATAACATAAAAGCTCAAGGTGATGTAGCAAGTGCTGATACAGAAGCTGCTGCAAGTTATCCAGAGGATAATTAGTGAAGGTGATTACACTAAATGACAGATTTTTAAATGTAGATGAGACAGCCTTATATTGAAAGAACATGCCAACTAGGACTTTCATAGCTGGAGAGGAAAAATCAATGTCCAACTTCAAATCTTCAAAGGACAGGCAGACTCCCTAGTTAGGGGCTAGTGCAGCTGGTGACTTGAAGTTGAAACCAGTGCTCATTTATCATTCTGAAAATTGTGGGGCCCTTCAGAATTATGCTAAATCTACTCTGCCTGTGCTCTATAAATGGAACTACAGAGCCTGTATGATAGAACATCTGTTTACAGCATGGTTTACTGAATATTTTAAGCCCACTGTTGAAACCTACTGCTTAGAAAGAAAAGATCCCTTTCAAAATACTACTGCTCATTGACAATGTACCTGGTTTCCCAAGAGCTCTGATGGAGATGCTCAATGAGATTAATGTTGTCATCATGCCTGCTAACACAATACTCATTGAAGTCCCTGGATCAAGAAGTAGTTTTGACTTCCAAGTCTCATTCTTTAAGGAATGTATGTTGTAAGGCTTTAGCTGCCATATATGGTTGAGTCTTCTATGGATCTGTGCGGGGAGCCAGCCTGACTGCTCAGGCTCCTTCTTGGCCCTGAGAGAGATCAAGAGGTCCCTCTCTGTCCCGCCACCCCTGATTTATTAAAGTGCAGGTTGACCTTTCTCACCTCCCTCAAGGAAATTGCTGTAGCGACCTTTTACCCATTTTCCTGACGAGATTGTCAGGCTCCTGTGTATGGTTTACGTCTAGGTAATCTTTAGATAATCTTTAATTGATTGTAATCATGATAATCTTTTAACTGATTGTAATCATACTAAGACGCCAGTCCCTTGCTCTGATGAAAGAGTTGAGATAAAATTCCTGAGCGAAGACTAATGCCTGCGATTCTGCACGTATACATGTCCTTGATCTAAATTTAGCAAGTCCTGTTAGCATATATAAGCATGTTACTCCTCAATAAAGTTGTTAGTTTCAGTCGAGAGCTGACTCCGTCCCTCTCAACCCCATGTTTCCGAGTCTTTATTTCTTAGGTATTTCGGCGATTGCGCCCGTGACCAGTTCGTTTGCCGGCAGGCTCCGGCAGATCTGGGCAAAGTCAATTGAAAACCTTTTGGAAAGGATTCACCATTCTAGGTGCCATTGAGAACATTCACGATTCAAAGGAAGAGGTCAGACTATTAACACTAACAAGAGTGTGAAAAAAGTGGATTTCAACTCTCATGGATGACTTTGAGACTTCAGTGGAGGAAGTAACTGCAGATGTGGTATAAATAGCAAGAGAACCAGAATTAGAAGTGCAGCCTGACTATGTGACCAAATTGCTGCAATCTCCTGTTAAAACTTGAATGGATAAGGAGTTGCTTTTTATGGATGAGCAAAGAAAGTGGTTTCCTGAGATGGAGACTACTCCTGTGGAAGATACTGTAAATTGTTGAAATGACAACAGAAGAGTTAGAGTATTACATAAACTTAGTTGCCAAAGCCATGGCAGAGTTTGAGAGGACTGACTCCAATTTTGAAAGACATTCTACGGTGGGTAAATGCTATCAGACAGCATTGCATGCTACAGAGGAATTGCTTGTGCACAGCAAGGAAGACCCAGTGGAGTCACTAATAAATAATAAATGAAAAGTGAAAATAAAATACATATAAAATAAATAAGTAATTTAAAAGAAGTTGCTTACCTTACAACCACCAAGTCCCAGATCCATGTCTCAGGGAAGTACTTTCGCACAGTCTCCGTGGGAGGCTCTGCAGTATCCTCAAGATGCATAAAATCACCATGTCTTCCCATTTCAGCTATGACTGTGGAGCAAACAGTAACAATAACTATAAAGAAAAAGCTTATGAAAGATTGTAATAAGTGCTACAAAAGAAATAGGGTGATGAAAAGGATAGGAACTGGGAAAGGACACTTGGGTTAAAGGAAAGCTTCTTGGAGGAGGTGATATTTTTAGGTGAATTCTGAAGTATTACAATAAGCTATAAGTGAGCTGGGGGAAGTGAGCCCCAGTCAGAGAACAGTGAGACCCAGAGGCAGAAAGAATCTTGGATAAACATTGGGGTACATGTGCCTCTTTCAATTCTGGTTTCCTTGGTGTGTATGCCCAACAGTGGGATTGTCATCACAGCACTGTTTACAATAGCCAGGACATGGAAGCAACCTACATGTCCATCAGCAGATGAATGGATAAGAAAGCTGTGGTACATATACACAATGGAATGTTACTCAGCCACTAAAAAGAATACATTTGAATCAGTTCTAATGAGGTGGATGAAACTTGAGACTATTATACAGAGTGAAGTAAGCCAGAAAGAAAAACACCAATACAGTATACTAACACATATATATGGAATTTAGAAACATGGTAATGATAACCCTGTATGCCAGATAGCAAAAGAGACACAGATGTATAGAAGAGTCTTTTGGACTCTGTGGGAGAGGGTGAGGGTGGGATGATTTGGGAGAATGGCATTGAAACAGGTATATTATCATATGTGAAACGAATCACCAGTCCAGATTCTATGCATGATACAGGGTGCTCGGGGCTGGTGCACTGGGATGACCCAGAGGGAAGGGATGGGGAGGGAGATGGGAGGGGGGTTCAGGATGGGGAACACATGTACACCCCTGGTGGATTCATGTCAATGTATGGCAAAAGCACTACAATATTGTTAAGTAATTAGCCTCCAATTAAAATAAATACATTTATATTAAAAAAAAAAGAACCTTGAATAGTCTGTGAAAGGATACCTAGAGGCAGAAAGGAGGCTCTGCAACTACTGCATGTTGTATTAAGTGTAAGGGTTATGAACTGAGGTCTGGATTTGGTCTGCTCGTCTGCAGGAGCAAAGAAAAACCATACTCAGACATTATGACAGTGGCTTTGAGAAATAGTTTATAGGAGTGAGAGGATCAAGAATTTAAAAAGCTCTTCATTCCCCAATTTTTATCCATCCTATATATAATAGTTTGCATCTACTAACTCTAAACTGCCAGTTCACCCCTCTCCAACCTTTCCTTCCCTCTTGGCAACCCAAGTCTGCTGTCCATGTCTTGAATCACAAGTTCTTTTTGGTTAATTTCATCACATTTTATCTTTCTTAAAGAATTTGGTTCAATATATTAGGCAATTAATTAATTTTTACCTGGTGAAGCTAATAGTCTTTGAGGCTGTATTCTATATTGTTCAGGCTGTGGACATATCTTGGGTTTATGAATCTTTGAGTTGGTGAATGCCTTCAAGCCCATATCCTATAAAGGAAATCATAACCGAATCAGTACATCAATATTTTAAAATATGTATATACCCATTCTTCTTTTCATAGAATTTAACAATCCAACCAGGTTAATATTAAACTTTTAATGTTCACATGAGTAAAAAGGAAATTGATAAAGAGATAATTTTACTCTGGCTTTAAACCTCTTTCAAAGGTAATTATTTTACATGTATGATATTTATAAATATCACAAGGCAATGAATTTCAGTAAAAAGACAAAGCAAAATTCGCTTAATAGTCCCAGAAGTTCCAGTCTTAGTTATGTTGCTCTCACAGATCTGCTACTATTAGTAGACGTTGGAGAAGTTACTTGACCTCTCTATGTTCCATTGCCCTCAACTATGATACGGAAGCATTAAAATAAATATTCTTTCCATGGATAATATTTTGTGAACCTTAAGAAGTGACCATCAGCAGTATAAGGGACTTACCTGTAGGAAGCTATACATATCTTTTTCATTTGTATTTGATACTGGGGAATACATGATTCCATTGATATAGACATTGTCACGACTGATGCAGTCTTCATTGTCTTCCTCCTGTTGATTTACACTTGAGGGGAAACTGCTGAGGTCCTTGACTGGTAGCAGGTTATAAACCTGTACAAATGCAAAGGACAAAAGGACAAAATTAAGGACTTCCGTGGAGGCCCAGTGGTTAAGAGTCCACGCTTCCAAAGCAGGGGGCTCGAGTTTGATCCCTGGTTGGGGAGCTAAGAACGCACATGCTGTGCAGTGTGGGGGGCACCATCCCCCCACAAAAGGGTTAAACAATTAAAAAAGCCAAAATTATTTGTGGCTTATTTCTCTTAAGTTCAAGGAGAAAAGAAAAGACTAATCACTGCCAGACTTCCTTTGGGTGGCTCTGTTGCTTAGATAATTTATAGAGAAGATGATTTTGAAGATGTTTAACAGTGTTAGGGGAAAAAAAAAATCCTATCCAAGTACCCAAAGATCATAATCCTTTGTTACAAAATTCAGAGACAAACCCTGGACTCTATGTTGGAATGAAATAAAATTTAATTAAGAGAAATTGAGGTTTGCTGTACTTGGGAGATTGTGTAACACTTTGGGATTAGAGAATTAAGTAATAGATTTGTCTCTACCTGGTGGTTAGCAACAGACTCAGTGTATAACAAAGTAAATGGATGCATGTTCTAAACAGGCACATAGATAAGCCTGTATCCTCTATATAGGTCAGGATGGTATTTTCTTAGTATTAATGATGGGAACAAAATGCTCCATATCTTTATAAAATACATAAACTTGATTGTAGAATACTGAAAATGATACTTGCCAACTCACTTCAACAGGAAGAATAAAACAAACATAAAAATCCTGCCAAAATTGTTTGACACGATTAGATGAGCCCAATGAAAGTGAGTAGCACAATGAAATAAAACACTTTCTCAAAGGCAGCTCCCTCTTAGCATCTCTGTCTCCTTGCTCTGCTTTATTTTTCTCGAAAGTGTATAATGTAATTATTGTCTTTCTCACCTGAAGAAATGTAAGATCCATGAGTGCATAGATTTTTTTCTTCCTAGTAGTTCACTATTGAGATCCCCAGAATTTAGGCACACAGCAGGCACACCCAGAACACAGTAGGGCACTAAATAAGTATGTGTGGACTGAATGACTTATGCTACTAGCTGCCCACATTTCATTACTGAAACATTATCACAGATGGAGAGGAACTCTTGTTCTAACCCAGGTCTGCTCTTAAATACCTGAAAGTGTCTGTTTTGTTATCAACAAACTAGTAGAATCTTCTGCCTTATCTATCCACTGAGGTTGTTATAATTAAAAAATTTTTTTGAGAACTATGAAATTATGTTATATAAGCATAAAACATTAATTTAATTTGCCCACATATTTCTTGCTTCCACTATGCATTTAAAATTTCCTTTAGAAGTATCTTAAGATTTTTAACTAAATACCATTGGAAGGACCAAAAAGTCCTTTACTTATAAGTTTCTCTTGTAGGGAAGAAAAAACATAACTTTCCCTTTAAAAAATTTTAATAGTAAAAAAATACTTCAGTAAGAGGTATTCCAATTGGCCTCATTGAAAATTTGAAGAAATGGGTAAACTATTATTAGGACACATTAAGTAGTTTCTTGTTGTTACACTCAGCATGTTCTTTTGTTATTTTTCCTATTAGCCCAATATTTTATTTCATTTAACTTATTTATCTATGTATTATTATTATTATTATTGTTATTATTTTTTAGTGTTTATTTATTTGGCTGCGTTGGGTCTTAGTTGCACATGAGGGAATCTAGTTTCTGACCAGGAATTCAAACCCCAGACCTCTGCTTTGGGAGATTGGAGTTTTAGCCACTGGACCACCAGGGAAGTCCCCTAACCCAATATTCTAAAAGGTTTCATTTAATAATGTCATTTGTCACACAGCAATTAATTTTTCCTAATTTTTATTTATCAGACAATATAGATCTTCTTTCAGAAACTGTGTTCATCATGGGAAATGCAATGTTACAACTGATACAATCTTATAGAAATTTGATATTTCATTTAGCCTGTGCAGTCTTAGTGCAGGTATATGTACCACTTCTGTTAGACTTTTTGAAATATTGAAACTAGTTTGAAAACTCTTATTATTGGGTTCATAAAGCTCTTCGATATCAGGGATTTTGGATGGTGCATCATTTGTACCCATATATTCATATGTAATATCTTCCTTACCAAAAAAAAGGAGCACATGAAAGAGCTCAAAACGATTAACTCCTAGATAAATATAACTTTAATAGAACCCACCCCACTGTCCTTGCTCTGAGTCCCCTGTGGGGCCCCTCCTGGCCCCTGGGGCTCACAGAACTCACCGTGGCCGCTGAGAGCTCGGCTTCAGGCCTCATGAGCAGCACACTTTGGTCCACAGCACGGAGGGCGCAGAGGGACTGAGGGGAAGCGGTGACTCGAAGGTGGGCCTGGGAAGCCGGGAAACTTTGTCTGGGGCTGAAGTTCAAACCCACCTGTGGAATGGGGACAAAGTCAGAAGAACAAATTTCCTGATTGATCCATGGATTCACCAGCCTTTCCTGGGTGTTCCTCAAATTTGGTGCAAAATCACTCTGACTTTGTTGACGTTTGACGCCACGTGAATCTTGAGGCTTTTGATTCCCTATTGTCATTCTGATATTCATCAGTTGAGCTATTATGATGATATCTATTTTTATAAGTTATTAAATTTGAGACTCCACTTTCCACCTTTGATCCATAATGAGGTGTTCTTTAACTGTGGCTAGAATACAAATGGTTCTAGACACTCTTGCATTTTTCTTTGGTGCTTTTGTAGTCTTAGCAACTTGGTTACATATTTCCCAACACATCACCTTAAAAGAAGGGAACAAGGTACTGTGAACTGTATCACATGGTAAGAGGTAATGCATGAGAATTTTGTCCTAGGAGTCAAGTGACATGGCTTCTTTTCCTTTTTTTTTTCTTTAATTGCGTATAGTTCCTTTACAATGTTGTGTTAGAGTCTGCTGTGCAATGAAGGGAATCAGTGATATGTATACATGTATCCCCCCCTCATGGGCCTCCCTCCCACCCCCCTCCCCCAACACCCGTCCTGGTCATCACAGAGCACCAAGCTGAGAGCCCTGTACCTTACAGTAGCTTCCCACTAGCTGTTTTACACATGCTAGTGCATATACGTCAATCCTAATCTCCCAATTTATCCCACCCTCCTTTACCCCCTCCTTGTTTACATATCTGTTCTCTACATCTGCGTCTCTATTCCTGCCCTACAAAGAGTTCATCTGTACCATTTTCTTAGATTTCAAAAATATGTGTTAACATATGATATTTGTTTTTCTCTTGGCTTCTTAGTGTGATCTGCCGTTACCTTGCTGAAAATTTCTGGAGGATTCATTTAACCCCTTTGGCCCCAATGCTCAAGTGTAGAAAAGAATTGATAGTGACAGTAACTTCTAGTTTTAAATGTTGAAAATTTTTACCATATAAAGCACTCACCTTGTTGGTCAGACAGTGTTCAACCTCATATCTTGCAGAATCCCCTACTACTTCCCCGTCAGGTAAAATGGCATAGATGAGCAGCCTAGCGACAGGAGCAATGTCTGACTCCACGGGGACTGACATGGAAAAATGGCCTTGCACTGGAGCACAGAGACAACAAGGAAGTGATCATGGGTTAGAGTTCAAGGTTAAAATAATGCTTTTCTGTTGTATCAGTATAAAGTCATTTCAGGAGCCTGGTTTGTTTAATGACTCTGTTAGTAATGTAATGTTGTTTAGTCGCTAAGTCCTCTCTGACTCACTGCAACCCCATGAACTGTAGCCCACCAGGCTTCTCTGTCCATGGGATTTCCCAGGCAAGAATACTGGAGCGGGTTGCCATTTCCTCCTCCAGGGAATCTTCCTGACCCAGGGATCGAACCCGAGTCTCCTGTTTGGCAGGTGGATTCTTTACCACAGAGCCACCAGGGAAGCCCAGTAGGCGTAGCAGATATAAGAAATAGATGCAATAAATGGATGACTACCTTTAAGAACCCTGGCTTAAAAAGAACTTTATCAAAGTCTTCTCGTCTCTGAAAATGATTCTCCCCAGTTTTAAGCTTGAGTTCATCTGTATGAAATTCTGATGCTATCTAAAGGTGTGGAGACATCTGCTTGGCTTCCATTTGATTTAGACTTCACAGTGGAGAAAGGAAATAGAATTTGCAGTTGTGAGATATATAGTAAGAGTTTAATGCATTGTATTTACCCTTATATCCTCTGTAACTTTCTATGAACCAAATATTCTATTTTTTATTCTTAAGAGGAGTACTGAGCTCCTTTGAAAGTTGTTTTTTGACACATACATAGATTTGTTAGAATCAAGCTTCTCCAAGTCTACTGTAGCACTTCTGCATTGCTACAAAGAAGCAACAAAAGAGTAGTTCATGGTAGTTCACCTATAATTTTCTAGTAAGGGATCTTTTAGATTCCCTTAGGATAAGCAAAAAGTTCAGAGATTATATTGTTTCACATTTGTTTCTATGGAAAGTCCGATTCAATGTTGGAAAAACTCAATTTATCTCTTCATAAGTCATAAATATCTTCTAAAGGGAAATATAATGTGAAAATGTAAATGACCCAGCACAGGACTAATATATAAAAGACATTTCAAAAAAAAAATAATAAAATAAAATAAATAAAAGACACTGCAAAGTTTTAGCTTCTTTCCATTGTCTAAAACAATTTTGAAATGTCATTTTGAGAAGAAGGTTCATGAGTATTTATTTTGGAAAATTTGGAGTAAACATAGATTATGAACAAACTCAATATTTTAAGTCTGAACGGATTAACCTGAAGGAAAAGAAAATAAACATTTGATGAAGGGTTTTTAATAAAGAAACATTATTGTTTTCCCCTTTCAACTTCTCTCTTTTTTCTTTTAAAGATTTTTTTTTGATGCTTGCCATTTTTAATGTCTTTATTGTTTATTACAATATTGCTTCTGTTTTATGCTTTGGTTTTTTTGGCCACGAGGCATGTGGGATCTTTGCTCCCCAGTCAGGGATCGAACCTAAACCCTCCACATTGCAAGCATGGAGTCTTAACCACTGGACTGCCAGATAAGTCTCCCTTTTCAACTTTTTTTTTGAAGGTGGGATGAATAGTCTCTCTCTATTTGAGACTATTGCTGGTATTTTTTGCAGCGTAAGGCTGCATGTGACAGAGGAGGGCAAGGATGAGAAATTACAGAAATACTCACTGTCTCCCTGCTCCACGGGCAGTGTGTGAGTCCCAGATCGGACAATGCCTCCTTTTGCCATTATCTGCAAACAAGGACATGAAAAGGGATTGAATTTGCCTGAAAGAGATCTTAGCCCAAGTTCTTGCCCTCCATGTAATATGCCTGTTTCTTTAAGGCCCTACTGGCAATAATTAGCCTGGAGAGAAGTCAAACTTTCAAAAGGAACACGGGTAAGAGATCAAAGAAGCGATGTGTGAAAGTGGAAGTTGCTCAGTTGTGTCCGACTCTATGCGACCCCATGGACTGTAGCCTGCCAGGCTCCTCTGTCCATGGAATTCTCCAGGCAAGAATACTGGAGTGGGTTGCCATGCCCTCCTCCAGGGGATCTTCCTGACCCAGAGATCAAACCTGGGTCTCCCTCATTGCAGACAGATTCTTTAGTGTCTGAGCCTTCAGGGAAAGAACGTAAAGAGCTTCACAAATGCTTGCCCACACAGTGCTTTCATCTACAGACAGTGAGGGTGGCCCTCCTTCTCACCAGGTAATAGAACACGAGCTCTGTTAGCTTCTTGAGGACCTGTCCCTTCAGCACGTAATGTGCCTGGACTGTCTGAGTTTGGCCACAGGGCAGTTCACGAGGCAAGGGCTCAAGGTAGACAAAGCTGTTGCTTTGGGAGAACACAAGATTAGCATTGTGATAAGCGTCTTCATGTTCTTCTGACAGCCACTGGTAGCCGTAACAAGGGCTGTGATCCTTGTATTTGACCTGATGAATTAGAAAACCAGGATTAGTCTACGGCCATACCACCCTGAACGTGCCCGATCTCGTCAGAAAACCAGGATTAGCTTATAGATTAAATATCAGAGACAATGGCAGTGTGCTCACAGAGTTGTAGTTTAGTATCCTACCTTAACTAGTGTACCTAGAAATCTTTTGTTCCACACTAAAAAGTGAGAGAGAAGTGCCCCTTATTTTGTTCATCTGTTTTGCAGACCCTTTACATGGCAGAGGCTTCCTGGGTTGGTATTTATACTTCTGAAGAGCATATGAGGAGACATCCTTGACTCTGATTAGCTCCCTTGCGTTTCTGTAGCCACTTTATGTATTTAGACAGAGACACTGGAGCTATGAAACCTTTCTGGGGACACTGACTGATCCTCAGAAACTGAAGAATTGCATTTCGGAGAGAAGATGCCTCATTTAGGATGGGTTTCAAATGGATATTGTGAATAAATGTAATATTGCAAACTTAGAGGTCTGAGAACACTTTCTGTAACTAGCATTTGTTCAAGAGTTGAGTTTATGTTTGTATATGTTCAGTCACTCAGTCATGTCCAACTCTTTGCAACCCCATGGACTGCAGCACGCCAGGCCTCCCTGTCCTTCACCATCTCCCAGAGCTTGCTCAAACTCATGTCTATCGAGTCAGTGATGCCATCCAACCATCTCATCCTCTGTTGTCCCCCTCTCCTCCTGCCTTCAATCTTTCCCAGCATCAGGGTCTTTTCCAGTGAGTTGCCTCTGTGTATCAGGTGGCCATAATATTGGAGCTTCAGCTTCAGCATCAGTCCTTTCAATGAATATTCAGGGTTGATTTCCTTTAGGATTGACTGGTTTGATTTCCTTGCTGTCCAAGGGACTCTCAAGAGTCTTCTATAGCACCAACATTTGAAAGCATCAATTCTTCAAGTGAAGTAATTGATGCCTGCCTCTCCCTGGCTGTCTTAGGCTGCATGTGTAGAACCCCCCTACTTTAACCACAACTCTGTGCTGCCTCCTTTTTAATCAACTGTTTCAAAATTGACCTTAAATTAGTTTCTAATTTATCATTTTTTCCCTGTCTTCTTTAAGACTAAACACAACTTGGAAATGCCATCACTTTTCGGTTGCAACCTGTTTTTCTAAGACTTCTTCATGTCATTGGTAACTTCCTTACAAACTTACCCTGATACTGAGGGAGGTGCCCTTGATGTTGGTGGTAGTGATGGAGAACTCTGCCAGGCCGTGCTCATCAGTGGTGGCATTAGATTTGTGGTTGGCTTCATTTGCTGTGATGAAGATGACTTTATTTGGCATGGGGACACCTTTCCCGTCCACTAGGAGCACCTGAAGTTTAAAAGCTGCAGATCAGTTATGTGGCTAATACCCAACAGGCAGCAAACATTCATTTTAGCACAGATATTTATTGTGTCCAATATGTTGAACATGGTTGCAGGCATCGAGGCTACAGCAGTGAATAAAACAACATTCCTTCTGTCTTCGAGCACCCAGTCCAGGAAAAGAGATAGCTGCTAAATAAATGCGTAAGTAATGCGTTTCCCTGGTAGCTAGGCTTCCCTGGTGGTTCAGTGGTAAACAGCCCGCCTGCTAATGAAGAAGACGTGGGTTCAATTCCTGGGTCAGGAAGATCCCCTGGAGAAGGGAATGGCAACCCACTCCAGTATTCTTGCCTGGAGAATTCCATGGACAAAGGAGCCTGGTGCGCTATAGTCCATGGGGTCACAAAGAGTCATACACAACTGAGAAACTAACACTTTCAATTTCCGCAAAATCTGACTTTGCCAATGAAATGTCAGTTGTACGTATGAAGACCAGAACACCAAAATTCTTCCTCTTTTGATTAGAAATGGGACTAATGGGATAGTTATTTAGCAGGAATAAAATCTCAGAAAGTACAATATATCTCTGAGAAATCTGAAAAAGTGAACTTTCGTTTTAGGAAGTGACCAAAGTTTCTGAACATGTGTGCTGTCATAACATAATCAAAACATTCTAAATATCCACTATCTAAACAATCAAAACGTCCACCACTCCTCTATAGCCTGATCTTTCTGTCTTTTACACTCTCCACAGCTGACACAGCGTTTCTGTTGAAGACGAGATGCATGGTGATTATACTTGGAGGTACATGTGACTGTCATCTTAGACTTCTGGAGTCTGGAAACTCCATTAGCACTTTTGCATATAATAGAAAAATAACAGGAGAAGACTTTTTTTTTTGTAGATTTGAGAGAAAAAATTTGTATCTTTAAAATCTTGTGAAAGTGAAAGCATTCGTCACTCAGTTGTGTCTGACTCTTTGCAACCCCATGGATTGTAGCCCCAGCCAGGCTCCTCTGTCCATGGAATTCTCTAGGCAAGAATCCTGAAGTGGGTTGCCATTCTCTTCTCCAGGGTATATTCCTGATCCAGAGATTGAACCCGGTTCTCCTGCATTGAAGGCAGATGCTTTATCTTCTGAGCCACCTAAGCAAATATTTTATAATATTTCATAAGTCCAGGGGATCTTCCCAACCCAGAGATTGAACCTGGGTCTCTTGCATCTCCTGCATTGGCAGGCAGATTCTTTACCACTGGCACCACCTGGGAAGGGTAAACCTTAATAGCAGTATTTTATACCTCTATGTACTGTTTTTAAAATATACTTGTTATTAAAGAAAAAGTAACATAAATACAAAATCCATGAAAGAAACAACAGGTACAGTGATTGCCATGTGCTCAGTCATGTCTGACTCTTTGCAACTCCATGCATGGACTGTAGCCTGGCAGGCTCCTCTGTCCATGGGATTCTCTAGGCAAGAATACTGGAATGGGTTGTCATTTCCTCCTCCAGGGAATCTTCCTGACTCAGAAATCTAACCCCGATCTCCTCCTGCATTGCAGGTGGACTCTTTACTTGCTGAGCCATCTACTGTTTTAGTAGAACCTCTTATATTTCACAAGAAAAATAAAAGCCACCTACCCATCATTTCCATACAAAATTAATGTAGGAAAGATAATGTAATTGGCCAGCATGAATTTTGAGATGCTTATGGAAAAAATATAAAAATCTGAGACTACATGGTAAGCCATGGGAAAGGGTTTGAATGATAACACACAGGGCTATTTTAAAAACCTAATTTTAACGTGGTTTTTATAGATTTGATATACAAATTTACCCAGGAACAAATCTATTTTATGCAGTTTTACACCTTTGACTGGGGGCTTCCCAGGTGGTGCTAGTAAAGAACTCGCCTGCCAATGCAGGAGACATACAAGATGCAGGTTCGATCCCTGTGTTGGGAAGATCCCATGGAGGAGGGCATGACTACCCATTCCAGTATTCTTACCTGGAGAATCCCCATGGACAGAGGAGCCTGACAGGCTACAGTCCACAGGGTCGCTAAGAGTTGGACACAACTGAAGCTACTGAGCACAAACGCACACATGTTTTTGATTATATTAATCAACAGATTATATTAATCAACAGCCAAATGTGGTTTTAGCAAGATATGTTGTGCATATTAGGGGAGAGTATGTTTTGACATGTGAATTGAAAAATACTTCACCTGCCCAGTGAAAGGAATCCCTCGTCTAAGGTTTGAGTCCACTGTGACAAATGAGAGTTTGGTGATGGTTGTTGTTATTTCAGTGGCCCCCTTTCCAGTTAATTCCACCTCTGAAAAAGAAGGAAAAAATAAGTTCTCATTTGGAAGGATTCTCTCCCTGAACTTAACACCGCCAGCTCCCTTTCATAATTTGGCAAAGGAACTAAATCAGTGTCTGTTGTTCTTTTCCCATACCCAGGAGGTATACACACCTGTTCCTTTTTCTTGAATCTTTGCTTCCACTTCAATTTTCATTTCAAACTCTTGTCTCTTCATCTGGAAGATCTTGGTGTTTACTTGCTGAGAGAAGCAGCCCTCAGTGTTCAGCTAGGAGGGGATGAAATGAAACACACAAACATAAGACTGGACAAATGGGTGGTCAGGCAGTTTGGTGGGATTTTTGTTTTTTGAGGCAACAATACTTAGGAATTTTGCACGATAACACAATAAATATTCTCTAGGAATTAATTATTATTACATCTCACAACAGTCTTTGGCTTATAACTGACAAGTGTATTCCTTAGTAGCTGATAATCCCTAGAGTGAATGAGGTATAGAAATTTAAACTGTTAAAATTGGAGTTTGATCCCTGGGTCAGGAAGATCCCCTGGAGAAGGAAATGGCAACTCAGTTCAGGATTCTTGCCAGGAAATCCCATGGACAGAGAAGCCTGGTGGGCTACAGTCCATGGGGTTGCAAGAGTTAGACTCAGCTTAGAAACTAAACAATAACAACAGTCTTACTGTAGGAGGCAGCTAACTCTTCACTGAAATCTGGCTTCCCTTAGTTTACAGCTGTGGCTGGGAAGTAGCTGCCCATGTGGGGACTGTGTTTCCTCCCTCCCTGACATCCAGGTGGGGCCATGTGACGAACTCTTGCTCATAGAAAGAGGGAAGAACTGAAGCCCTTCCCAGCCAAGGTGGTTAACATGGGTATATTTTGTCCCCTTCCTTCCTGTAGATACTCAAAGGGGCTTTAGATAACAGGTTCTGGGTCCTTGGTGCACAAAGAATACCTACAATTGACAAGAAATAATTCCTATTAGGCTAAGTCATGGGTTTTTATCAATAAAAATACTAGAGCTAGTGTAGAACTCTTTTATAGATTGGTCTGTTCTTGAGTTATCACTATGTTATAACTCACCGCTTGTCAATGGTGCCTAGGCTGTTAGTCCCTAGGAGTGGCTTCCCACGTACCTGCCCACTGAACTTCTCACAGACAGCATTGGATTCTTCACCATAACAATTAGAAGGGTTCCTGTACTTTCTGCACACGTTCATAGTCACATGTCCTGGGACAGGCTTCCCATAAGTGTATCTGTTATAAGAGCATTGCCACATGGGTCAAATCAGACATTGAACACCCTCATTTTCGACCTGTTTATATTTCCCCTTTAGCTATAGCATATTTTTACTCTCTGTATTTCCTTCTAACTTCTGCAGGGCTCATGCAGTGTTGAGGGCAAGTAAAATAACTGGTTTGAGCCCCCTAACATACAGAACAGCAAATTCCCACTGGCTATCTATTTCATACATAGTAATTTAATTGTTTCCATGCTACTCTCTCAATGTGTCCACCCAATGGGTCCACAAGTCTGTTAAAACCTTCTCTTTTAGAAATTTACAGTGCAGCATGCTGAAATTTACTACTGTCTTCTTTTACTATGTCTTTTCCCCCCTGATATCTAATTTTCAGTTTCATCTTTTTAAAAATATTTTTCTTATTGTCAAATCTATACCAGATCTTAAGAGAAACAACCATACCAACAAAACAAAACAAGAAACAAGTGTTTTCAATTCTACATAGGAATATAAACCATCAGTATGATGGTATCTTTCCTTCTGCCATCCTCCTCCTATGGGCAGCTATCTCTGTTTATGTTGAATTTTACTTGTTTACTTTTTACAAAAACTGGTGTTTAAACTGTGGTGTTGGAGAAGACTCTTGAGAGCCCCTTGGACTGCAAGGAGATCCAACAAGTCCATCCTAAAGGAAATCAGTCCTGAATATTCATTGGAAGGACTGATGTTGAAGCTGAAACTCCAATACTTTGGCCACCTGATGCAAAGAGTTGACTCATTTGAAAAGACCCTGATGCTGGGAAAGATTGAAGGCAGGAGGAGAAGGGGACAACAGAGGATGAGATGGTTGGATGGCATCACCAACTCAATGGACATGAGTTTGAGTAAATTCTGGGAGTTGGTGACGGACAGGGAGGCCTGGCGTGCTGCAGTCCACGGGGTTGCAAAGAGTCAGACACGACTGAGTGACTGAACTGAACTGAACTGAGCTTTTTACAAAAATGGGATTGTGCCATAAATATGTCATTGGTAATTGCTGTGGTTTTGAGAGTGTTTTATTCCCAATTTAAATATCCTCAGTACTTCCCAGATGGTATAGTGGTTAAGAATCCACCTTCTAGACATAAAGATGGCTAACAAATACATGAAAATATGCTCAACATTGCTTATTATCAGGCTGGAGAGGGTGTGGGGAAAAGGGAACCCTCTCCCACTGTTGGTAGAAATGTANAAAAAAAAAAAAAAAAAAAAAAAAAAAAAAGAATCCTCTATCTCTGTATCTGTAAGAATATTGGTTCATTAGCTCTGTGGATCAGGAGCTTGGTGGCCTTCCTCTGAGACGGTGCTGGGCAGGGACCCAGCTGAATAGCTAGTATATTACAAGTGGTCTTTAGGCAGGACTTGTTTCTTCACTCTGCCTTTCTTTCTGTTACTGCTACTGCTGGGCTACTGGAGATGGGAGCATAAGATCCTAGTAACATTAGTTCTGAAGGTTGGAAAAGCCTGACTGAGACATCATGTCCAGTCTCATCAGTGACAATGGCAGTGCCAAGAAGTATGTGACCTGCCTTAGGGATGGATGAGTTAGATGAGATTTCTGTAACGTGCCTATCTCTACAAATTCTGAATCTAAGTTATTTTTCCACTATGTCTGCAAGGTCAGGTAAATGATCTGTTGATGATTGAATTTCCTTTACAACCTGATAAAGGGAAAGTCACTACCCTTCAACACTCTCTTATTTGTGTGCCTATGTGTGCGCGGGTAGCTTTATTACTTTCAGAGTCAACCCTACTAGCATAGCTTCTCTAGAAACAGTTGCCTATCCCGTGATAGTTACAATAATTCTGGTAAGGACAGGAAAGAAATTAAGAAGGAAAATAGAAAAGCAACAGGAAAGTTTTAGAGATGGGAATGTTCCCATGTATTTAAGGTGTTTGTGCAGCACTCCTCATAGACAAGCTAGCAAGATATCCCAAAGGGTGAGTCTCTTTTAAATAATACACCCAGCCCCAAAAGATTTTTGGAGAGTATAAACTCACAGGCCACACACTAACACGTTCATCTCTTCTTCCAAAATGGTGATTATCTTTGGCATTCTTACTTGCACTTCAAACTTAGGAAGCACTGTTGATTGGAGAAAAGGAAGTTGATGATTGGTTTTCAACTTTTGGGGAATTGGCATTTCCAGATTCTCAATAACAATTTCCTAATAATATTTTAGGCCTCTGAAAAGGTAGCCCTCTTCTCCAGTATATTCACCTTCCTCTCAAATGGAAATCTTGGTTGAAGGACTATGATGGATCAGTGTAATCCTGGTGAATTATGGGAGACCCCACTAGACTATAATTGTTTTACATTTTTTAAGATTAAAATTGTTACAAAAAAGGCTATATCCTATTCACAAACCACTGATGGTCCTCATTGGATTTAGGTATAATTTGCTCCACTCCAAGTCTAATCTCACCCATGGCAAATAGAAGGATTCCAGAGAAACTTGAATTCTAGGCCCTAGAAGTTCAAACATGAAAAAAGAACTGTTTGGTGATTTTTCTTAATGGCATACCAAATTCCTCCACGGTGAAGGGGTGCTCGGCAGTTCCACCTGATCCCTTCTGTACCACCACCTTATAAGAGCCCTGAAAGGGCTCTGACGAGAGGGGAAAGGTCAACTGCTGGAGGCCATTCTCTACCTCGAGGTTCTGCCACTGTGCGATGCGATTTCCTTTGGGGTCCTACAGACACGATAATCGTAATTTACAAAAGAGCCTAGAGCATTAGATACAGTACAGGAAATCTATGGGGACTCCGATGTTATCCACAAAGACGGGTGGGAGGAGATGACTTGGAACAAACTAGTGTTACATGAGTTTGAAGGCTTCTCCCGTAATGATGAATTTCTGAAATATTGTAAGAACATTTCCCCTAAGTTTATTATAATTATGGAATGTTTCACTTTGCTTACCTCTATATATACTAGTGGAACCTGAAAGACAAAAGGATAGTAAGCAGTTTAGAACTGTTCTCACAGAGCCTCAATTCTGATTTATAAGCAAAATAGTTTTACACAGAATAGTTTTATCTGTAGTAAAACACAGAAAAATTCTAGAGTTTTACAGAACTTTACTCCAATCAAGCAATTAATGAGTACTTACAGGGCTGTCAGCAACAAATGCATGTGTGCCATTCTTTAGGAGTGGTATTTACTAATATCACTTAAATGCTTATAGCATCCCAGTGAAGAACATTCCTTTGCTATGAAATTTTACAGATTGAGAAATAAACAGCAATGAAACAATAAGTAACCATGTTCAGATCCAAATGTTAAGGTGGACCACAGAATTCTTAAGGAGTTCTAAGAATAAGAAGGAGTGGGAATAAATCCTCTACTATCAATGCATATTCATTTAAAAAACTGACATTTATTAAGTGCTTCCCAGGTGCTGTGTATAATCTTAGTGTAAAGAACCCACCTACCAGTGCAGGAGATGTAAAGACAAGGGCTGGAGCTCTGGATCTGGAATATCCCCTGGAGGAGGGCATGGCGACCCACTCCAGTATTCTTTCTTGGAGAATCCCATGAACAGAGGAGCCTGGTGGGCTACAGTTCATGGGGTCTCAGAGTCGGACACAACGGAAGTGACTTAGAGAGTACATTAAGTGCCTACCAAGTGTTGTATATCATCCTAGGTGCTATAAATACAGCAATCCACAAAAAAAAAAAATAGACCTGTTTCTCGTGGAGCTTGCATTCTAAAAGGGTGGATATATAAGAAACATAGACATGTAGGCAATATATTTTTTTGATACCTATAGATACACATTTGATATATATGTTTGGTATATGAGATACACATATTTGGGATATATATATTTAAGTTATATATATATATGTTTGAAGTAGTGTCAAGAAATGAAAATAAAGTAGTTCAGCTGACAGAGTGATGGATGAAGTGTTTGATTTCAGATAGAGAAGTGTAAGCAGAAACCAGGAGACCCATTTCAAGGCTACTGCAATAGTATTATTCAGAGGTGATACTGGTCAGAACAAAGTTGTAGCAATTCAGGTGGTAAAGCACAGTCTGGATATATTTTAAGCTAACATGATTTTCTGATAAAATAGGATGTGGCTGTGAGAGAAAGACATGAAGGATTATGCCTTAATCTTTTGCTTTAGGAGCTAGAAGAAAAAAAATTGCTCCCTCCCCTCCAGTTCTCTCCCCGCTCCTTCTGACAACCGCCCCCCTCCCACCCACCAAGCCCCAGTAAAGATGGATTTAATCAAGATCAGCAGGGAATTGCAAACCCCCATGGCCTGGGAAAGAGAGTGTTTTTAAGAGAGGAAAAGGAAGTTGGGAGGGGGAGGGACTATAGTAAACAGAGTTTGTGGCTTTTAATTGAAAAGTGTCTCTTTCCAAGATAAAAAAAAATGTGGTTGAGGACTAGATTTGGGAGAGAAAAATTAAGACTCTGGTTTCTTGTCTACATTAAAATTGAGTGTTAGTCTTGAGGAACTAACATTGATTATACTCTCCTTCCTTTATAGGAGAGGTTTTGGTAGGTGTGTTATAAAAATTTTGAATCTTTGAGAAGTTATTTAAACCTAAGTTTTTTGACAGTTTATTTCTTATTTAGTGTATCTTTCTAGTTTGCCTAACTGAGAATTTTTCAAAGAGTAAGTTTAATTGTGTGACAATCAAGTACCAGTAACAAGAAAGAATCAATAACTCTCTTGACCCAGGGTACTGTTTTAAATGAGGATTTTGCACAATGGCTATGCTAGAAAATATTGTTATCAGTAGTAGATTCTTCCTTTCTCTGGCCCTCCTTCAACACCAAAAACAGACTCCCAGCCTGTTTATACAGATAATAATAATTCTAGATAGATATTAGGAGACTTACCAACTCATTCAGGGGGTGAAAACTTTCATCCAAAAAGACAATACGAAATTTCACTGAAACAGAAATATTTTCCGTGAGTCCCTGAAACCTTAGGCCAGGTCTGTAGGTTAGTAAGACAAGCTATTAAGGAACCAGGATTCCTTTGACTGGGAAACATGCAAGAGAGGAAGATCTTTCTTTTGGGAAGTTGTCCTGACTGCAGGCCTCTGTACCTGTCTGCTCTGGTTTATAGATGGGTTTGTCTGTCTGGACAAAGACCAGGCTCTCTTCATTTTTAACCAACACTGTGGTCCGCTTCTTGAATTCTTGGGTTGATCCTTTCACTTGGATGGTGAGGAACATTACCTCTTGACTGGTTGGAGATCTTGGGAGCTGAAATAGAGGAGAGACCCTGAAAACCCACTCATTTCCCAAATTTCCTCTCCAAGTCCCTCTCCCACTTCTCCCTAGGGGTCTTGCCCCTTTTAATTTCACTGGCCCATTCTCATCAGAGAAAGTTGGCATGGACAGAAATTCATGGACAGAATGACCTCTGTCATTTGTGAATGGGAAGACAGAACAAAAGATGGAGGAAAACATAACAGTGAGTGAGGTCATAAATAAGATTCACATCTCCTTATAGATCAGCCAGAACAGTATTTTAAAAAATATTTTTGCTCTATTTATTGTTTTTAATTTTTATTTTATATTGGAGTATAGTTGATCAACAATTTTGTGTTAGTTTCGGGTATAGAGCAAAGTGAGTCAGTTATTCATATACATGTATCTATTCTTTTTCAAATGCTTTTTCCATTTAGGTTATTACAGGATATTGAGCAGACTTCCCTTTGCTCTATAGTAGATCCTTGTTGGTTATCTATTTTAAATATAGCAGTGTGTATATGTCAATCTCAAACTCCTAATCTATCCCTCTGCCCGTAAGTCTGTGAGTCTGTTTCTGCTTTGTAAATAAGTTTATTTGTATGATTTTTTTTTTTTAAGATTCCACATGTAAGTGATATCGTATGATATTTGGCTTTCTCTGTCTGACTTTCTTCACTTAGTATGATTATCTCCAGGTCCATCTATGTTACTGCAAATCAGCTAGTACAACTTTGATTCATTTATACTCTGAATGTTACCTAACTGCTGTTATGTGATAAATGAGCATGGTATTATAGAAGCATCTTTTAACACTACAAGAAAGGAAACTGTAATATTTTATTGGCCGTATGCTGTAAGGATCTATACAACTCTGAAGAGATATTGGCTGTACATTCATGGTGATTTCCACAATTTCACACTTAGAAAGAGTATGGGCTGATGTGTTCTGTGTTCCAGTCAGTCCACCACTGGGGCTTATGTTCAACATTGGTTTAGTATGCTTTATTAGTCTTTTTTCCATTTTCATTTTAAGAAGAAGTCACACTTTCCCTTTGTCTAGTTCCTACTGTTTTTTTTTTTTTTTGCTAAGAGGAATTTTCTCTGATCATTAAGCTCATTTTAATATCTTTATAAATATTTGTTTACCATGGTTGGAAATTCACACATTACTTCTTAATTTCTACGCTTAGTCACTACATTTAGATTCCTTTGTGAAGTCCATGCCAGCCTCTCAAAGTCTTATCTTGATTGCATTCTAGATCCCTGTGTTCCTGACATAGAAACAAATGTATTAAGTCAAACAGTCATACTCACAGTGAAGGAGACACAATGGAATAAGTCCTTTTCTGCCACCACATCAGTGAAGAGGCTCCTGTTCTCTCTGACAGACTCCAAGGAGGCGCTGACGGTCACCGTCTCATTCAGGTGGCTCAGAAGAAGGCAGCCCTTCTCAGGGGTCCCAGTATGGAGCAGGGAGGGGACCAGCACCATGTATTGCCTGGGGTTGGGGGAGTCCAGTTAAAGGAGAGTGTAGGAGGTGAGGCATTGTTATCAGCAGCACTGTTTTCTGCCATAATTTTTGTTACTATTCACAGCTCTATGCCAAGAGAAGACATATTGATAAGCAGGAAGTTGATCCCTGCCACTGAAAAGCATGCAAGAGAATTATTCCCCTTTCCATAGTCAGTACCATGTCAGTGAACATTTAACTTAAGTGAGCCTTAATGAGGTGAACATTTGCAGGCATATCTCACGCTGAGGAACTCAAATCTGTGAGCATCTGAATTCAAATAAAGACATGATAATTATAGTTAGTCAAGCTGTCAATCTATTTTACATTAGGATTGCTGAGGAAAGCAAGCAATTCTCATGTGAGACATTACAAAAGCCAATCCACTTATAGAACTTTTCATTGAATACATAGCAAGCCTGTAAAAATGGAATGGCATGTTCTTGCTTTCCACTTTACAGGTATGGAGGCTGAGGCTTAAAGAAAGTCATTAGTTTAAAGTCTAATAATGAAGCAAATAATGTGTGTGTTAAGCAAATAATGAAATCTTGGTGTGTTACCTAACCCTGAATGTTTGTATGTTAAATATTTGTCTTTCAACTCATGGCTGGACAAAAATGGTCTACTCAAAAATGGTCTTCTAAAGATTGAATTTGGAATCCTGGTAACTCATGAGCAGAACAGAAATTTTCCCAACACCCTCATATATAATTTTATTGACTCTCAAATTTTCAAACATTTTTGCTCACAAAATCCTTCACATAATTCTTAGACACTATGAACTCCTTACAAATACTCAGGTAAACACCTGTTTTTTCACAAATTTAAGTAGTAGTAAAATATATTATTTTTGATGATACTTTAAAATAAAACCCAGATATAGCTCAGTTGGTAGAGAATCTGCCTGCAGTTCAGGAGACCTGGATTTGATTGGTGGGTTGGGAAGAGCCTCTGGAGAAGGAAATGGCAACCCACTACAGTATTCTTGCCTGGAGAATCCCATGGACAGAGGTGCCTGACTGGCTACAGACCATGAGGTCGCAAGAGTCAGACACGACTCAGCGACTAAAGCAAACCACCACCACCACATTACTTTTTTGGAACTCTCCCATGGAATCTTAAATATCATATTGATAATATATCCAATAAGATCTATTTAAAAATACACCAAAATGTTCTTTTTGTAATGATCAGAAATTTAGCAGCTTTCTCCTTTTCCCTCTTTAGCTTGAATTTTCATGCCACTTACCACACAGAAATCTGTCCTAATGTTTCGATGCTTCAAAATATTTTATGGATCACTCTAGTGTCTTTATGCATATGTATGTGTATGCATATGTAATGTTTGCATATGTACATGTATGCATGTAGTATTATATGTGGGTATATAAATTGAATTTTAACTCTTAAATTTAATGTGATCATAAAGCTGTAAATGTTAAACATTTTCTTCTGAATTGTTTTCAAAAGTCTTAGTAGTATACAACAGATCAAAACAAAATAAATATATTGCAAGCTATGATTCATATATTTTCCATATTAATATAAAGTCAAAATACTTTTGAAGCACATCTTTGATGAAAATGATGAGCTGTCCTTATATATTCATAGACGAATATTCCTTACTGCAAGAATTAAACAAAGGTCTACCATGAATTCTGTTGCTAGTTTTGGTTTGTGTAGATGCAGTGCTGTGAAAAATTGTTCACATGAAAGTAGATAAATTATATCATTTTTTATCAGCTCTTGTAACTTCTGCATTATGTGCCAAAAATCACAGTGCCCTATTCTCAAGAGTTGCTTCTTATCATCTATCAACTGGTATTTCCCTTAGATCCTCCTTCAATTCTGTTGAAACAAAGAATTCATCACCACACGATCTGCAAAATGATTTTCTCTTCTGTCATTTGAGTCTTTTGTTTTCTCAACATCAACATCAGTTTTTCAAATTGCTCCTTTATTTGGAACTCTAGAGATTTTTATATTCCTTAACAATGTTCCATGGTAACAACTGATTGAGGGAGGTTTGTCTCTTTTAAAGTGGAAGATAGGAAATTAAAAAGGGGGAGGTAAGAAAGGATAGATAGCATGGTCTCAAGCTGATCTGTATGAATATGAGGATCTAAAAGTTGATTCTTTTAAAAGTATCAATTTCTAGTGCCCTTTAGAAAGTCTTTGTATATCTCCACAGAACTTAAGAGATTCAGAGATCCAGAAAGTTGGAAAGAAATGTTTAAGAATAAGTGAAGATTTGTAAAATCTCATTATTGAAAGAGACCTTAAAGATAAGAAGGTGACAGTTTCATAGGGAAGGCAAATGAATGGTAAGCATTTAAAATAAAGGAAAGGATTCTTCGAGTTTATGTTTTATGTGAAACTCACGGTTTCCCAGAGGCTGAAGCATCTGTCGGCAGCAAAAGCAGAAGAAGGAGAATAAGACTTGGATGAAGGAGTTTGTTCTTCCCCATACTGCAGGGAGAAGGGACTGGAGGAGACCAGACTGTGTTGCACCTTTCTCCCTGCGGTTGGTCTGGTCCCAAACTTTCCTCGGAGCAACTAGGCTTTATGCTGCTCTCTGTGTAAACAGGAAGTTCCACCCACACAAGGTGTCTAAACAAAGTAGAGGTCTCTGAACATTCTCTGAAAGGGTCGTTGCTCTAAGGGACTTAATTACAGTCAAGGTTAATTCTTGGCAAGCTAAATAGGATTCCTGGAGGGATAAAATCCACATTCCCATTAGTGCTCATTTTCCCTGGGTTTTCCCGTAAAGCAGCTAATCGGCTTTTCAATCCCTTCTCTCTCTTGCTCCCTCCTTCTGCTTCCTCATAGTGCCTTTTATGGCTTTCCTCTCATCTCTTGCATGAATAGCTGGCAGGGGAAGCTATAATTTAAGCAACACTGAAAGGCTCAAAATAGATATTTCACTACAAGTCAGTCTCCTGCAAGTCCTCCATCAGATATGTCTACTCAATATTGAAGCAGTTTCAGAATTTAGTTGTCCTCTATGGAAATGACAATGGATTAAAAGAACAGCTTTTTTTCTTGGAGGATACTGCTGAATTGCAGATAAAGAGCTAGGTTCTGGAAGAATGATAATAGATATATTTCTCTGTATTAAGGAAGTGAAAAGATGAAAGGAGAAGTAGCAAGACCTCAAAAACAAGCTTTGACTTACTCTGCCCAAGAAAGATCTTAATTGTCTTTACCATCTACTTACGTGAACATGAACGCATTTTGTTACTGCCTTCTAAATATGCAACTCCCTTTCAGTCTTTAATCATATTAACTATTTTATCCATCCATCCATCCATCCGTTCATCCACCCATCCATTCATTCATCCAATTGATTGATTGTTTTTTAAGTTTTATTGAGCCCAGTTGGTCTAGGTATCATACAAAATCATGGAGATGGAATGGTCAAATATGTAGAAATGGATTGTACATTCTTGAGGGTATGAAAGCAGACAAATAAATAAGCAATAAAAATACAGTAGCCAGACATTATAATTGGAGAAGTTCAGGTGCTCTCGGAGCACAGGACAGGGGCACACAATTTAAACTTGGGTCTTGGAAAAGAAATCTAAGGGAAAGAAAAAAGCAAATTAAATTCTGGAGTGTGGGTGGTGGCTAGCCAGGGAAAAGAGGAGATGCAAAGTGCATTCGAAGCACATAAGGAATGACATAAACAAAGACACAGGGGGCGATAACCATCATGACACATTAGTGATAAACATCATGACAGTAAAATGAAAAATGTTTGGAATGGAGAAAATGCTTGTCCGCTTAGAAAAGGGGTGAAGTAAACTTGCTTCAAATAAAAAAGAAACTTGCTGGCACTACTAGGGTACTTGGAGAGTAATCAGTGAAATGACTTCCCCAGATTTGTTTCTTGGAAAGATCACATTCACTGAAATTTGGGAGAGTGATGGGAAGGAGGCAATCCAGGAAGCAGGGTGGGAGTTGGCACAAATATATGGACGAGAAATGATGGTATTTGGCTAGGGTTGGGGCTTCCCGAATGGCGCTAGTGGTAACAAACCACCTGCCAAGGCAGGAGACATAAGAGATGTGGATGCAATCCCTGGATTGGAAAGATCCCTGGAGGAAGGCGTGACAACCCACTCCAGTATTCTTGCCTGGAGAATCCCCATGTACAGAGGAGCCTGGTGGGCTACAGTCCATGGGGTCGCAAAGAGTTGGACACAACTGAAATGACTTATTGCATGCATGCATGCATGCATTTATAATGATGAATAGAGGTTGACAGATTTATATTATATTTAAGCGGTAAAATTATAGTACACAGTGAGCACATGAATGTGATAGTAAAGGAAAATGTGCCTTCCGATTTTCCTGGCTATTCACTGAATGACTTTTGTTGCTTTTAAGTGATTGAGTGAAACACATAACACAGGGTGAGAACAGAGGGCTGAGAGTTGGGAAGATAAAGAGTCTCCTTTTAGAAAGTGCTTGTGCTTTAAATAGTAATGTTTGAGGGAGTTTAACATTAGCTTTTGAACTGTGGTGTTGGAGAAGACTCTTGAGAGTCCCTTGGACTGCAAGAAGATCCAACCAGTCCATCCTAAAGGAAATCAGTCCTGAATGTTCATCGGAAGGACTGATGCTGAAGCTGAAACTCCAATACTTTGGCCACCTGATACGACGAACTGAGTCATTTGAAAAGACCCTGATGCTGGGTAAGATTGAGAGTGGGAGGAGAAGGGGAGACAGAGCATGAGATGGTTGGATGGCATCATCAACTCAATGGACATGAGTTTGAGTAAACTCTGGGAGTTGGTGATGGACAGGAAGGCCTGGCATGCTGCAATCCATGGGATCGCAGAGTTGGATGCGACTAAGCAACTGAATTGAGCTGAACTAACATTAGCATCTAGAACTTAGAGCATTGTTGTCTAGAAGAAATATAAGGTGAGCCTCCTAAGTAATTTTACATTTTTCACATTGAAAAACAAAAAGTAACAGATTAAATTAATTTTATTTTTTATACTGATTTTTTATCATTTTTATTTTTAAATGAAATTTTATTGGAGTATAGTTGCTTTACAATGTTTTGTTATATTTTACTGTAGAGTGAAATGAATCAGTTGTATATATACATGTATCCCCTTCCCTTTGGACTTCCTTCCCATTTAGGTCACCACAGTGAATTAAGCAGAGTTCCCTGTGATGTACAGTGTGTTCTTATTAGTTATATATTTTAAAATTTATTTTAAAAATACCATTTACTTATGTCAGTATTGCCAAATTATTATCATTTCAACATTTGATCATTATAAAAATTGTTAATGAGATACTCTAAATTTGTTTTTCATACTAAGTCTTTGAAATCTTGTATGGATTCTACATTTATAAGAAATATCAGTTTAGAACAGCCACATTTCCAATGTTCAACAGCCCATGTGGCTACTGGTTACCATATTAGACATAGCAGGCTTAAAGAAATGTTTTTCAAACTATGGGTCACCATCTATAATGTGTTACAATGTCATGATCAGTGAGTCATGACCAAGATTTTTTTTTTTAAGGTTTTTTAAAATGTAATAGAATACAGCAAAATAGAAAGCACAGTGTACCAAACAGAATATGTGAAACTAATGAATTTGGAAATATTTATTTCACTGTTGTGCAGCAGAAACTTTGGTTATGTCCTATTACCCCTTTTCTGACTCTACCTTTATTACTCAAACACCTGAGTTCTTGCTGGGCATAAACCATCTCATTGAAAACTTTTATTTCCTGGTCTTCTCCTTGGAGGCTGGGTATGGTATACGGCTAAATTCTGGCAACTGGAGTGTGAGTGCAAGGGCAGTGTGCAACTTTCAGTTCATGACTTGGAAGGATTAGGTTCTGTCCTTCCCTTCTCTTCCTTACTACTGTCTGGAATCTGACGTGTTGATGGTAGCCAGATCTTTCATTGTAGGCAATAAGATGGAAGCCATGTGTCAAGGGAGGCAGAACAAGAAACAAGACATCAACTGAACCCCTAAGTCATCCAAAGGCCATTTTAGCTGGCACTTTTATGTAAGAGAAAAACATTTTCTCTTATTTAAAGGCCTTTGCATTTTGAGATATCTTTGTTCAAGCTAAAACTTATATCTTAACTCATATAATTTCTCTTTCTTTATTACATCTCTATCATCTCTAAGTGTCACAGTGTAAAAGTTACATTGTGAAAATGTGATTTCATTGTTATCTTGCGAACTGTCTAGTGAAAATATACAAAATTTCTTATTGTAGGTTAAAGTTAAAGCAATCTGAACACCACCAGTTAACAGAGATCTGGCCTATTTATTACAGATTAGAGATTTATCAATTTATAAGGAGAGCTGATGCCATGGAAATAGATGATATGGGATGAAAATAGAAAAGAGTCCACGACAGAGCTCCAAGAAACACTAGTATATAGGTGATGAACACCTAAGTGGAACTGGAAAGAGAAACATGGGAGAGAGTGGGATTTCTGAGCCCCAGAGAAGGGACATTTTAAAAAAATAGTCAAAAGAAGATTTTTACTAGTCAGAGTGACTGGGGCTTTATAACAAAACATCAAGGCTTGTGACTGGGCTTCCCTGGTGGCTCAGATGGTAAAGAACCTGCCCACAATGTGGGAGACCTGGATTTGATCCCTGGGTCGGGAAGATCCCCTGGAGAAGGAAATGGCAACCCACTCCAATATTCTTGCCTGGAGAATCCCGTGGACAGAGGGGCCTGTAAGGCTACAGTCCATAGCGCCTCAAAGAGTCAAACACAACTGAGTGACTAACATTTTCACTTTCTCTCATGAAATGACCCTGTGCTTGTACACACATATGCATGCGCGCACACACACAGACACACACAGACACACACTCTTTATTCACCAAAGGAAAACTAACCCTGCAACATATTCCCTGCTGAGTCTCATATTCAAAAATAAACTATATAGAGTTAAAGACAAAAATATAAAGCATAAATATTTAAATTAGGGAAAATGTGTAGGAGAATAATTTTACAGTTTGGGGGGGTAAAAAATGACTTCCTAATCAGAAAATAAAACCCCAAGACAAAGTTAAAGTATAAGCAGCAGAGTTACTACAAGTAACTGATATAATACATTACTAGTAATCATACATTTGAAAAAGAAAAAAATATATGTCATGCAATGTTCCCTATCAGACTGGGAAATTTTTTAAAGGCGTGGGGAAAATGTAGTCTTAGGCGTTGCTGGCAGAAGATAATTGGCAGTCATTTTAGAAAGTAATGTGATAGGATGTACACTCCTTGACATAGCAAATTTACAGACAAGTTCATCATACAAAACAACAAAAAAATCAAGTAACTGAATTAAAAAAAAATGAGCAAAAATGTAAGCATGTACAGCTGGCTGTTAAGAGTAGGTTGAGTCATCTTGGCACCATTGTTGAAGATAATTTTATCATATACATGAGGAGTTTCTCTCTGGGCTCTCTATTCTCTTCCATTGATCTATTTGTCTGTCTTTATGCCAGTACCACTCTATTTTGATTAATGCAACTTTGTAATGTTTTGAAAATAAGAAGTGAGAACCTTCCAGCTTTATTTATTTATTTTTTTAATTGTTTGGCCATTCAGGGTCCCTCAAGATTCTACAGGAATTTTAGTGTGGGTTTTCTTTCAAAAGTGTGATTTTACTATACCATACATTTTGCTCTGCAATTTCCCCCTTAAAGTATACATTGTATTGAAGATAGTTTTCATGTCAGCATAAGGATCTATATTAAAAGAGATATATTCTCTTGAATAATTACCTTATATATACATGCTGTGATTAATCAATACCATATAGATAACCAATCAGTTTTTGTTTTCTAGATATTGTGTCAATGAACATACTTGTCTTGGCAGAGTAGTCCATACTCTGGGAGTAATTACTCGAAGTAGAAATATTGGATCAAAAGGGCAGGCTGGGATGAAAGTTTCACAAGGGAAAGGATTTTGTCATTCTTGTATCCCTAGTGCCTAGAACAGGGTCTGGTGTGTGAAGTGAAGTTGCTCAGTTGTGTCCGACTTTTTGCGACCCCATGGACTACAGCCTCCCAGGCTCCTGGGTCCATGGGATTTTCCAGGCAAGAATACAGGAGTGGGTTGCCATTTCCTGGTGTGTACTAGGTGCTAAATAAATAGTAAATAAACAGTAAGCCCAACAAGCAAACAAATAAATAAACAAATAGGTAAGATAACTCTTGACCTATGTGTCAAAAATTAAGAAGATGTTTGCCGAACTATGCTCATTGTTCATTGGCTTAACTACTCACACAGCATCTTTCTCCCTAACCATCTTCAAACTATGGGTAGCTGTTTGATCTAGTCTGGCCAGTGACATATAAATGGAAGACTTCTGGGTGGGGCTTGTGGAAAACTTTTGGTTTCTTAACAAAAAGAGGAAGTTTCAGAAGACACAGCAATGAACATTTTTATTTATTCTTTCTGCGTGGAAAATGAATGTAACACTTAAAGTTTCAATGGCCATCTTGAGTTAACAAAGCAACGAATAGGATGATCAGGTCTGCATGCTAAGCAGGTCCAAACAATAGAAAGGGCCTTGATCTCTGTCAGTGTTATTGGGTAATTGTGTCAACCTTGGAATGTCAACCTCTGGACTTCTTCCTTATTTGTTCAGCAATTGCTAGTTGCTTTTCTGTTATTTATTGCCAGAGGAATCCCTAGCTGATTCACAGACAGGTGCAAAATGCATTTTAAATATATAGAGGAAATTAGAACTTAAAGTAACCTTGCAACAGTGGGGAGAGGGTGAAAAATGTGGATTTTAAGTGTATTGGACATGATAATTGCTAGTTTAATATTGATGAATGTACTACAGAGAAAAGTTACAGTACTCCCTTTTACCTTACTTGATGCACTATGGATATAAAGGACACCATTATTTAATATATTACTTAAAGAAAAACTTTTCCAATTAAATTATGTAAAATATGTCATGATATGAAAAGATATGTATGTTGTAATCACTGAATGCCAGAAATAGCTAATATTTTAGGTT